GGCGGAGCTTCGGAAGAGGGAGGCGGAGCTAGAGAAAGAGAGGCGGGGCCGAGAGAGGCTGAAGAGCCAGAAACAGGAAGTGGAGGAGCGGGCGGCGTACCTGTCCAGACAGGTGAGTGCTGCTGGGGAATTACAGATTACTGGAGCTGAAATTAAAACGTTATTTTTTCATCAATATGCAGATTATTTGATCACTAAACAGTATAAATGTCAAAAAAGGTCCGAAAATGATGTGATAAAAAAATGTAGGAACAGTATGTGATTAATCTCTAAAGGGTATCTGAAAAATATCAGAAAAGTAGAGGAAAAATATTCATTTTAAATATCGGAAAAATATTTAAAAAATCCCACAAAAATATATGAAATATCAGAAAAGTAGGTCAAACATAAATGAAAGAAAATATGTCCAAAATATATAGTGGATGAATTCTCCTGATATATATATAGGTGGAAAATACACAAAATAATATATTAAAAACTATGTGAAAAATATAAGAAAAGTAGTAAAATATATGTGATATATATATATATATATGTAAAGTCCAAAATAAATATTAAAATGTTACTAAAAAGTATGTTTTCAAAAGTGATTGATTTGGACTCTCCAGGTCTGTGCTGCGGTGGAGATGATGGAGCGCCTGAAGAAAGATCTGGAAGGAAAAGACCAAGAGCTGAACGAGCGACAACAGTCAGTACCTGCACACTTTCATTATTACATTTACACTTTGTAAAATAAAATAATACAAATAAATGAAAATAAAATACTTTGCGTTTCTTTATCTTTAAACATGTTAGATTTATTTTTAGCATTTCAACTTTGATCTAAAAATAATGAATACCAAAAATAATCTATCCATCTGTTTATAATGAGCTGAACAGAGAAACAGGACGTGATGCACAGACAGAGGACACGTCATGTTTAATCTGCATCACACACACACACACACACACACACACACACACACACACACACACACACACACACACACACACACACACACACACACACACACACCACACACAACAACACACACACACACAACACACACACACACACACAGGATGCTAAATGTAAGATGACAGTGCGGGCCTGAGGGTGTGTGTGTGTGTGTGTGCGTGTGTGTGGATGTGTGTGTGTGTGTGTGTGTTTGTTTTCAGGGAGATGGTGGACATTGAGTCATTTCTGAGAGAAACTGCAGAGAAAGAGGCCGAAGCAAAATCCAGACTACAGGTGATCAAAGATCTTCTATAGAGAGCTGCAGGAATGAGTCCTCATCCCCTGAAATGAGTCAGCATTATGAGTCCTCATCCCCTGAAATGAGTCAGCATTATGAGTCCTCATCCCCTGAAATTAGTCAGCATTATGAGTCCTAATCCCCTGAAATGAGTCAGCATTATGAGTCCTCATCCCCTGAAATGAGTCAGCATTATGAGTCCTCATCCCCTGAAATGAGTCAGCATTATGAGTCCTAATCCCCTGAAATGAGTCTGCATTATGAGTCCTCATCCCCTGAAATGAGTCGGCATTATGAGTCCTCATCCCCTGAAATGAGTCAGCATTATGAGTCCTCAACCCCTGAAATTAGTCAGCATTATGAGTCCTAATCCCCTGAAATGAGTCAGCATTATGAGTCCTCATCCCCTGAAATTAGTCAGCATTATGAGTCCTAATCCCCTGAAATTAGTCAGCATTATGAGTCCTAATCCCCTGAAATGAGTCAGCATTATGAGTCCTCATCCCCTGAAATTAGTCAGCATTATGAGTCCTAATCCCCTGAAATGAGTCAGCATTATGAGTCCTCATCCCCTGAAATGAGTCAGCATTATGAGTCCTCATCCCCTGAAATTAGTCAGCATTATGAGTCCTAATCCCCTGAAATGAGTCAGCATTATGAGTCCTCATCCCCTGAAATGAGTCAGCATTATGAGTCCTCAACCCCTGAATTTAAACCCCTTTCTGTTGTCTTCAGGTGTTCATCGAGACGCTGTTGGCGCGCGCTGACCGTGCAGAGAGGCAGTTACTGCTGGCCAGCTCACACACACATCTGTACACACACACTGAACCTTACACACACCCCTACACACACACACATGGACACACACCTGCAGTCGGGTGGGGGGGGGCGCAGTCTGGACGCCAGCACTGAGGACGTCCTGGCAGACAAGATGCAGGGCAGCATCGGAAACAGGGTGAGAAACACAGAAATATTAATATACTGTATATTACGGTATTCAAATATTTAATACATAAAGTATTTGTTGACACGTCCTCTCCCTGATTCCTGCAGAGGAGTTACAGCGTGTCGGGTTCCTGCAGACTGGGGGAGCAGCTGTACAGCCAACATCCCTACAGGTACCTGAACGCATCACGAGAATCACGTTTGCACCATAAGATAAATTATATTGTTCATTTTTTAAGAATAATTTTAACATTTTCTCATAATTTTGCACTTTTTCCCTAACAACTCAGAATATTATTCCTTTTTATTCCATTCTATTTCTATGTAAATACTGCAATATTTTACTGTATTTGTAAATATTTCTGATATTATTTTATGTTATTTTTTATGACATCAAGTCAAATACCTCGTACGTGTAAACCTACCTGGTAATAAACCTGTTTCTGATAATGCAATAATAATACATTGGATTTTTATAGCGCTTTTCCTAGTGCTCAAAGACGCTTTACATTACATTACATTATTTAGGTTTAATGTTCCTCTCCGTGTTGCAGTGGTGTTTCTGGTCTGATGCGGACTTCCTCTCTGGGATCTGGAGGATGGGATGAAGAGGGGGGGCTCCAACAACATGTTCCACCCTGGACCAGAAGAGAGAGGCACAGGTACGTACAAAAAAAGTGTACATTTAGCAGATTTAGACTAAAATATGCCAATTTATAGTGGAAGTTAGCATGCTATGCTAATTCCTGTAGTGCAGTCTCATGCAAGATGCTAGCAAGGCTGCAGACAAACTTTTACTTATATTAGATTCAGGAATAATACAATAATATAAGTTAAAAGAAAATAAATATAATTTTTCATATAAATATAAGAAGCTAAGGTAAAGAGACCGAGGTGCGTAAAAAAAAGTGTACATTTAGCAGATTTAGACTAAAATACGCCGACTTATAGTGGAAGTTAGCATGCTAAGCTAATTCCCGTAGTGCAGTCTTAAAGAGCTGCTAGTTTTGAAGGATTTATAAGTATTTTGCAAGAAAATAAAAGGTGCAATGGTCTTTAAAGATAATTTCTATAACATTAGCCATGGCGCCAATATTACCCACAATGCAGCAGTGGTTTGTGCTAGTAGCAGCTAATATACATCTTTCTTGTTTTTCTTCTTCTTCTGCATGGGTACAACAATGATGTGTTAAATACATGTAAAGTAAAGTAAAGTAAAAAGGATGTTCCTCTTGTTTCCAGGGAGCAGGAGGGAGGCTGTCGGAGGACGTGGAGCAAAAGAAACCTTCGCCAGTACAGCACCGAAGAAGAAGAGGAAGAGGAAGAGGATGAAGAAATAGAAGAACAAGAGGAGGAAGAGGAAGAATTCTGGTGCAGCGCTGAGATCCGGAGGCTCGTTTTCGCCCGGAAAAACACACCTGGCTCAAGTAAACGGTTTTATTTTGTCATGTTATTGCATCACTTCCTGTGGCCCCTTCACAATAAAAGCCTCTCCTCTTCCTCCTCTTCCTCCAGATGCCTCCCTTTCACCAGCCCGTCCTCACCTGGCGGACATCTTGCGTTTGAGGGCGGGTCTTTTCTGCGTGTTTCTATATTTGGACGTGCGCTCGCTGCTGCACGCCGCTGAGGTCTGCTCTGATTGGCTGTTCGTTGCTAGACACCCGGCCGTATGGACACGCCTCCGGCTGGAAAACGCCAGGGTGTCCGCTGAGGTAGGGCGGCCATCTTTGTTTTTGGTTTTTTTAATGAAAGAAATATCGGTCAAAGATTATACATAATTAAAAAATATATATATTATATTATGCTATTATTGGTCTGATACTATAGTGAACAGAATTCTTAGTTTTTGATTTAGAAGTATTTTGGTATTGTATTTAAACTCCAAATTCATTCTGATAAAGGTATTATATTTATAATTTATTTTATATATAATTATTATATATTGAAAGCTGTAATTTATTTGTACAGGTAGTTTTGGCATGTTTTTTTTATTGTGTGTGTGTGTGTGTGTGTGTGTGTGTGTGTGTGTGTGTGTGTGTGTGTGTGTGTGTGTGTGTGTGTGTGTGTGTGTGTGTAGTTCCTGACCACCCTGTCTCAGTGGTGCACTCAGACTCAGTCCGTGGTTTTGCACAACCTTAAGCCTCGGAGCAGACGAGCCGACGAGACGCGGGAGGATTACCACAAAAACACACGGTAAAAAACTACTTTTTAGTACAAAATATCATGCGTCATACTCAGGAAAATCTTTTGAAACCCACCCACTGACTCCCATTAACCTGTGTCTTTACATTTCACTTAAAATCTAATTTTTTACTTTAAAAAAAGGATAAAGTGTCCTCACAATGCAGGAGTGCCTCCACTTGTCCTCACAAAGCATCCAATACAAGCGTACACACACTCGTCATAATTCCGCCAAATTGACTGCTCTCTGTTCTGTCTTATATTTTCTCAAAATTAATTTAATTGCTTCTTGTTTTTTAAATTATTTAGGCCTATGTATGTTTGTTGTATGGAATATTTTTCTGAAGTGTCTTTGAATATTTAGAAAAGTGCTATACATTAAATATATTATTAGAATTTTTTTTTATTAAGCTACATTTTTCATGTTAACACGAAAATAAGCTGAAAGGAAAGCGCTTTCCTAGAAACTCAAAGACACTTATTTTCTTCTGAAGAGGTGAGTTTCGATTTGTGATTTGAACATGGTGAGATCGGGGCAGTCACAGATGTGTTTGGGGAGTGACAAGGGAAGCAAAGTGCTCCCAAAGTGCATTGTGGGTGTTGTAGTTTACCTGTGTGTGTGTTCTGTGTTAGGGGCGTAGTGGAGCCCGGGGTGGAGGTCCTGCTCCGGTCGGCGGGGGGCAGTCTGCTTCACCTGTCTGTCTCTCAGTGTCCTCACATCCTCACAGACAGGACGCTGTGGCTCGCCAGCTGCTACAGCAGGAACCTGAACACACTCACATACAGGTGAGTTAACCTGTCGCACTGTTCACCTGTCTGTTCACCTGTCTGTTTACCTGTCTTATCAACTGTCTGTTTACCTGTCTTATCACCTGGCTGTTCACCCTGGCTGTTCACCTGTCTGTTTACCTGTCTGTTCACCTGTCTGTTCACCTGTCTGTTTACCTGTCTGTTCACCTGTCTGTTTACCTGTCTGTTTACCTGTCTTATCACCTGTCTGTTCACCCTGGCTGTTCACCTGTCTGTTCACCTGTCTGTTTACCTGTCTGTTCACCTGTATGTTCACCTGTATGTTCACCTGTATGTTCACCTGTCTGTTCACCCTGGCTGTTCACCTGTCTGTTCACCTGTCTGTTCACCCTGGCTGTTCACCTGTCTGTTCACCTGTCTGTTCACCCTGTCTGTTCACCTGTCTGTTTACCTGTCTGTTTACCTGTCTGTTTAGCTGTCTGTTCACCTGTCTGTTTACCTGTCTGTTTACCTGTCTTATCACCTGTCTGTTCACCCTGGCTGTTCACCTGTCTGTTTACCTGTCTGTTCACCTGGCTGTTCACCTGGCTGTTCACCTGGCTGTTCACCTGGCTGTTCACCTGTCTGTTTACCTGGCTGTTCACCTAGCTGTTCACCTGGCTGTTCACCTGGCTGTTCACCTGGCTGTTCACCTGTCTGTTTACCTGTCTGTTCACCTGTCTGTTCACCTGTCTGTTTACCTGTCTGTTCACCTGTCTGTTCACCTGTCTGTTCACCTGTCTGTTTACCTGTCTGTTCACCTGTCTGTTTAGCTGTCTGTTCACCTGTCTGTTTACCTGTCTGTTCACCTGTCTGTTCACCTGTCTGTTTACCTGTCTGTTCACCTGTCTGTTCACCTGTCTGTTTACCTGTCTGTTCACCTGTCTGTTCACCTGTCTGTTTACCTGTCTGTTTACCTGTCTGTTTACCTGTCTGTTCACCTGTCTGTTCACCTGTCTGTTTACCTGTCTGTTCACCTGTCTGTTTACCTGTCTGTTTACCTGTCTGTTTACCTGTCTGTTCACCTGTCTGTTCACCTGTCTGTTTACCTTATATATGTATATCAATCAAATATGTAATATTCCATTCCTCACATACTTATGTATATATAATATCCTGCTTTATATTTTGTTACTGAAAATGTGTAATTCAACATTATTTTTAATGCTATTTTATTTCTATTGAGATGTTTACATTTTGGAATGTTTATTTCTAGTCTTTTAATTTGTATTGTACAATGTATTATTTGAATGTAGTAAGTGTATTATTTTTTGAAAATGTGTCAATTATGGCCAACATTTTATTATAAATGATTCTAATTGTATAATTCTTGTTGTACCTGCTGTGCAGGAGCTCTTCAGATCCTCTTGGTCATGAGGTTCTCTGGGCCCTGGGTGCAGGCTGCAGGAACATCAGCAGCCTGCAGGTGGCGCCAGCTCACCCCTGGTCAGCACACACACACACACACACACACACACACACACACACACACACACACACACACACACACACACACACACACACACACACACACACACACACACACACACACACACACACACACACACACACACACACACACACACACACACACACACACACACACACACACACACACACACACACACACACACACACACACACACACACATACAATAAAACATCTTTGTTTTTCTTTAGCCAACAGCCCACTCGCTTTGGAAACCGCTGCCTGCAGACGATTGGTCGATGCTGGCCCCGCCTCCAATCCCTCAGTGTGGGCGGAGCCGGCTGTGGGACGCAGGGATTGGTCGCCTTAGGTAAGACAGCACTATTGAGAACTTTGATGCATGTATGTTATTTTTTGTCAGTTAGGGTATCTTTACAGAGAAAAGACTATTTGAAAATAAAGGTGTGTGTGTGTGTGTGTGTGTGTTTGTGCAGTGCGTAGCTGTGCTCAGCTCCAGGTGTTGGAGTTGGAGCGTGTTTCCGACCTCGGCCTGCAGGCGGCGACGGCGCTGTGTGAGGCCGGACTGAAGAGCGTACACACACTGATCCTCACACACACTCCTGTCAGCGGCCAGGCCCTTCTGCACTTCCACAGTGAGACACACACACACACACACACACACACACACACACACACACACACACACACACACACACACACACACACACACACACACACCACACACACACACACACACACACACACACACACACACACACACACACACACACACACACACACACACACACACACACACACACACACACACACACACACACACACTTATTATAATCCCCATACAAAGGGGTTAAAAGAGCTGGAAATAGTGCATTCTTTGGGGGACTATTTTCAGCGGTTGATGAATCCACATTTATTGTTATTCTGTGTGTGTGTGTGTGTGTGTGTGTGTCTGTGTGTGTGTCTGTGCGTGTGTCTGTGTGCAGGTGTGTGTGAGAACATCAGGTCCATGGGTGTGGAGGTCTCGGTGTCGGATTACTTCGAGGAGCCCGACTCTCAGGAAGCTCAGCATCTGTTCTGGGAAATATTGAACACACTGAAGGTGAGAGGGAGTGAGAATAAAAACATTATAAATATATAAATAATTAGTGAAACAAAAACAGAAATAAATAGGTAAATATAGAAGTGGAATAAAATGTGTTTTTTAATATATATTTTTTCTTTCTTCAGGTTCTCCAGAAACGTCCCGGTCTGTGTGACGTCCTGCAAGTTAAAACTGGATGAACGGATGAACATGAACAAACACACACACACACACACACACACACACACACACACACACACACACACACACACACACACACACACACACACACACACACACACACACACACACACACACACACACACACACACACACACACACGTTATTAACACACATTTTTCTAAGTATTTTTTGCACTCTAGTAAAACAGCCCTTAGTCTTCCTTTAGCAATTTCATTTTTTTTTTAAACAAAACTCTTGCATTTCTACTCTATTTTTGACAAAACCTGAACCATAGTAAAGCCTTCATTCTGTCCTAAGAAATACAATTAAGTCTTAAACTATTTTTCTTACCAACAAAGCCGAATCTCCCCGTCTTAATCAGCTTTAATCCCCTTTAAAATAACAATGTCCTCTTTTAATGAACCTCTTATTATTAGATACCAGAGACCAATGCTAGCGATGAGTACTTCTGAAAGCCATAATCCCTGTTCTGAAGTCATAGAAACCCTTTATTCTCACCGTAGGATGTATTTGAACCTTTGTCCTGTAGCTTTACACTGAATATATGCACAACAACAACACAGATATATTTGCACCAAAGACATTCAGATGTTTGTGTCGTGTGTTTTAAAGGTCCCATGTCATGCTTTTCCGGTTATTACCCGTCCCCTTGTGTTATGAAGCTTCTGCATGTAAACGGTCTGCAGTCACAAACCCTCAAAGTACACCCTGTAGCGAGTACAACTCTAACACAGAGAAGACCTGTCTATGCTGCCCCAGAACCTGGGTACAGTGACGTGCCCATACCCAAATGGACCAATCCTTGGAGCCGTGACGTTACGTCCGCGGAGCCGTTACGTTAAGTGTGTGTGTGTGAGGAAGTCCGCGGATTGGTCCATTTGGCCGATTTCTTCTCCCTGAGATGGCGGGACGCGGCGAGGCTGTGAGTCGGTGTGTGAGCACACACACAAACTCCCAGCCAGGCTGCGGGTGTGTGTGTGTGTGTGTTCGGGCTGGTTTTGTGCTGGGTTTTGCTGTCTCGAAGACGGCCACTGGGAGAGAGTGAATACACATACTATACAGAGATGCTGTATGAGAAACCAATGTGATTTTGGACAATTGAACAATATAAATCTATTCTAGTAGACCTCAACAATGGAACTATGATCAGTAGAAATGGCCATGACATGGGATTTTAAGATCTTTATGTAATTTAAAGCTGCTAAGTGTCGTTTAATAATAACTAAATAATAAATGTTTCTGTTCCCACTTTGAGATATTTGTGTTGTTATTGAGCCGTCTGATTGTTACTATTACAGACTATTATGGAGTCATGGGAGTGCCTTAAAAAAAAATGGAAGGTGTGGAATCAAGATAAATAAATACAATAAAAGGAAATAAAAACATTAAAAAAGAATACTAAATCAACAAGTAATAAGTACATTTAGGAGATTTGAATTTGAAAAAGTAAATCTAAAATTATAATTAAGGATTTGTTTCTGTCCATTTTAATATTAAAAAATAATATTAATTGACTTGATGTTGCGTATTCATTTTCAGAAATAAACACCTTGTCTTCCCTTATACTTTTTACAACATGCTTTTATTATTATGGCACTTTGTCACTCAGCAGCCCATTCGCCTGTGTGTGTGTTAGTGAGGGTGTGTGTGTGTATGTGTGTGTAATAAAACACGCTGTGATAAACAGATCGAAGGTTAAGAGCAAAGGTCGTGTGTTAACTTCCTGTTTTTCCTGAAGTCGCCCTTTAACCCCGAAAACATCAGCGAGCAGGAGAGCGTGTAAACAATGTGTGTGTTCTGACTGCTGGATTACAAAGGGACGTGTGTGTGTGTGTATATATATTCTGGTGTGTGTGTGTGTGTATATATATTCTAGTGTGTGTGTGTGTGTGTGTATATATATTCTAGTGTGTGTGTCATCATGGTTCTGCTAAGACGGACGGTGAGGCCTCGTCACCTTCTGCTGGCGGCCATGTTGGCTCTGCTCCTCTTCTTCTGGCTCCGTGAGTGTCTCCATGGTGGCCATTTTGGCTCCACCTCTGTCAGTTTCTACTTTACAGTGGGGGGGAGAGGCACTAAAATACTCCTTTTACTTGAGAATTTATATTAAATGTTTTTATTTTATGAAATAAATTAAGAGGGAAATATTCAACTTTAAATTCAGTAAAATAACAATATTTTTTTTATGTCTTTTGATATTATAATGTCAAATAATAAATATAAATTAAACAAAACAATGCATTTTTGGCACAATAAGTATAATTTAGCATTTTTTCCCCGACACATTTTACAGTTTTTTATTTTTATTTTCTATTGTATTTACTTTTTGAAAAAAACTATTTAATGTTATGATGCAATATTATTTTTTTTAAATAATAATTGTTTTTATTTTATAATTCTGTCTTCAGCTCAGGGTGGAGAAAGAGACTGTGGCAGCGCTGGGCAGCCATGTTTGAAGTCTTTACGGCAAAAGGTGCGCACACACACACACACACACACACACACACACACACACACACACACACACACACACACACACACACACACACACACACACACACACACACACACACACACACACACACACACACACACACACACACACACACACACACACACACACACACACACACACACACACACGCACACACACACACACACACACACACACCATTTCATTCAGAAATAAAGAAGAAAATGTGTAAATTCAGTATAAACCTGGTTTTCTTTCAGGCTGCGCCCCCATTGGTCGCTGCTGAAGCCCCGTCCCTCATTAAGGAGTGTCCCGGCCAATCGTTTCAGGCCAAGCTTCTGCTGCAGTATTTAAAGCTCAGCCTGAGCGACGCTGACGACGTCCTGCTGGAGCCGTACCTGCAGAGCTGGGATCAGCTGCTCAAGTACACTCAATATCTATTCATTTATAAAGGAATATTACAACATTTAATGAGTTAAATGCTCTCACAGCACCTGTTTAGCTTAGCTTAGCATAAAGAGTAAAAACAGGGAAACCGCTAGCCTGGCTACGTCTAAAAACCCAAAACAAATTCAACTTTAATCTGCTATTAAGTGCATTGTTTCCATATAATTCACTAATAACTCCATAAATAAGTGGACAACTTATTATTGTAAATATATATTTATTTATAAAATAACTGTATATATTAGTTAGTTGCTCTCACAGCAGCTGGTTAGCTTAGCTTAGCATAAAGAGTAAAAACAGGGGGAACCAGCTAGCCTGGATAGGTCCATAAAAAAAGGAAATTCAATTAAAAACTCCAATAAAAGTACTTTATTTACATCTAATTCAAACGTGGCCCCTTAAATAATAGCAATAACAAGTCAAAAAGGAGGGTGAAAGGAATATTTCAACACTTCTGTTCGGTGCAAATCTTATGTCTGTACGGCACCTGTTTAGCTTAGCTTAGCATAGGGTGAAGAAACAGAAGGACACCACTAGCCTGGCTACATCTAAATATACTTTATCAAGTTCAACTAAAATCTGCTATTAAGTGCATTCTTTCATGCTTATTCACGAGAAACTCATCAATAAGTCAACCGCTTATTATTGTAGTAATACAAATCATACATTCGGATTGTGTTGACCCTGATGGAACTAATTTAGTTTAAATATTTGTCATTAAATGTTTATTAGAGGTTTCTTATTTTCTGTGATAATAAAAAGTCATGAAAAACAACATTTGCACTCAATTGCTGCAAATTAGCTAGACATGCTAACATTAGCAATACAAATACTCTCTTGTCTCTCTTCAGATTCATGAAATCCCTCGGGACGTTGATCAGTTTATTCTCCGGTAAAGTGACGGAGAAAGTTGTAGTGATACAGGAGCTGTCACTCAAACACAGCGCAAAGGATCATGGGAAACGTAGTCCATTAACCCCAGCGTCGTTCGGACTAAAAACAGGGGTGAGTGTTGCAACAATAAAGCTGAAATAAATGAAGTTTTTATCTGATTTTGTTTGTTTGTTTTTTTTGCTCTCCAGGCGTATCGTTCGCTCAGATCCATGGTGGAGGCGGAGCTTAAAGAGGGCGTGGTCGACTATTCCCGCCGCTCAGACTCCGGCTGCCGGACGCTTCTTCGACTTCACCGATCGCTGCTCTGGCTGAAACTCATGCTGGAGGGTTTGGCCAAAGGACCGGACGCTGACGGACAATTCAAAACACCTGGAGAGCTGTGCAGGTGATGCTAACAGGCTAAAGCTAACAGCTCGTTGTATAGTTCAAAGAGGCTAAAGCTAATAGCTCACCATTTGATTACAATAGGCTATATTTTTTATCTCATAGCACTATACCGACAGGCTAAAGCGAACAGCTCCCAGGTCGGGATGCTATGCTAACAGGCGTAATATAGCAACTCTTGACTGATGACATTATGCTAACAGTTCCCAGCTTATGCTAAAAGGCTAACGTTTAAAGCTCCTAACACGTCCCAGGTCATGACATCATGATTTTAAGTGTGTTGTTTTAATCTTTACATTTTAGCATTTAAAGTGTCTTTGAGTACCATGAAACCCACTCTATACACCTGTAAAGAAAGGAAAATAAAAACAGAATAAAAAAAATATATATATATATATATATATATATATATATATATATATATATATATAGCAGATATTATTCTTGAATATAATTGTACTGTATTATATCATTTATAACATTATATAAAATTAAAATGTACAGGATTTAACTGACTCATTACATTATAATAAAGAAGTTGATTATGTGTTAAAAAAAAACGCTCGAAATAAAATGTATTATTATTGTTGTTATCATGCTAACAGGCTTAAGTTAGCCGCTCCATGCTCATGCTATGATACTAACAGTATAAAACTATCACGTCCCAGGTCATTACATAATGCTAACACGCTAAGGCTAACATGATATAATAATAATAGATAACATTTATTATAGCGCTTTCAAGGGACCCAAGGCCGCTTATATTATTGACATATGTTTCCTTCCCCTCTCCCCCTCAGAGACGCCTACATCGTGGCCCTGGCCCCCCACCACCCCTGCATCATGCTAACATGCTAACAAAATATGTTTCCCCCCCAGACGCCTACATCGTGGCCCTGGCCCCCCACCTCCCCTGCATCATGCTAATATGCTAATGCTAACACAATATCTTTCCCCCCTCAGAGATGCCTACATCATGGCCCTCGCCCCCCCACCACCCCTGCATCATGCTAACATGCTAATGCTAACACAATATGTTTCCCGACTCAGAGATGCCTACATCGTGGCCCTCGCCCCCCCACCACCCCTGCATCATGCTAACATGCTAATGCTAACACAATATGTTTCCCCCCTCAGAGATGCCTACATCGTGGCCCTGGCCCCCCACCACCCCTGCATCATGCTAACATGCTAATACAATATGTTTCCCCCCTCAGAGACGCCTACATCGTGGCCCTGGCCCCCCACCACCCCTGCATCATGCTAACATGCTAATGCTAACACAATATGTTTCCCCCCTCAGACGCCTACATCGTGGCCCTGGCCCCCCACCACCCCTGCATCATGCTAACATGCTAATGCTAACACAATATGTTTCCACCCTTCTGAGACGCCTACATCGTGGCCCTGGCCCCCCACCACCCCTGCATCATGCTAACATGCTAATGCTAACACAATATCTTTCCCCCCTCAGAGACGCCTACATCGTGGCCCTGGCCCCCCACCACCCCTGCATCATGCTAACATGCTAATGCTAACACAATATGTTTCCCCCCTCAGAGATGCCTACATCGTGGCCCTGGCCCCCCACCACCCCTGCATCATGCTAACATGCTAATGCTAACACAATATCTTTCCCCCCTCAGAGACGCCTACATCGTGGCCCTGGCCCCCCACCACCCCTGCATCATGCTAACGCTAACACAATATGTTTCCCCCCTCAGAGATGCCTACATCGTGGCCCTGGCCCCCCACCACCCCTGCATCATGCGAACATGCTAATGCTAACACAATATGTTTCCCCCCTCAGAGACGCCTACATCGTGGCCCTGGCCCCCCACCACCCCTGGGTGCTGCGTCAGGCGGCAGAGTTCGTGTTCCTCGCCCTGCCGGAGCGACAGTACTTCCTGCAGCTGGTGTGTGTTCAGACCCAGCAGGAGGCCGCGCCCATCCTGCAGATCATCATCAACGCTCTGGAGCTCGTGCACACGCAAACGCAGCGAATCCTCGCCCAACACGACATGCTCGAGCTGCCCTGAACGCACCACGACAGACAAAAAGAAACCAGAAACACGTGGAAAAAAAACTACAAATGTGGGAAATTTTCTTCTATTTATTTTGGTCACACATTATTTAACAGAATACAACTAGCTACAGAAGTAACATATGTACGGTAAATATTTGAGTAATATCTAAAACATGCAAAACATGCACTTTAAGGCACCATGCTGCATTCAGGAACACGTGGGATTTCGAAGTGTTTTGATTGACGTCCATCACTTTAACTAAACATGTATAGAAATGCGGATAGATGCCTATTTAAACTGTTGTTTTGATACAACATCCGATTTCCCACTTGCCCTGAATGCAACACACATGGTGAGAATATTATACTAACTTATTTAACGCTACAAGAAGTAAACATGTAAGACAACTTTAACAGGAGTTCACGGTGAACAGTGAACGTTACATGAGCTGTAAATACAACACAGAGAGCTTTGATGGTCTTTAAATTAAAAGTGTTTATACAATGCAAACTGTTTCTTATTGAACTCGCAATAAACTCCTACACTAAAAACATTTTTCTGGTTTATAGAAAATAGTAGAACATTTGTAGAAATAAAAATGTGTTTCTAAATTCCTAATTTCTCTGGCTAATATCTTTTTAACAGAGAAAATACCTTTACTCACTTTATCTTGAGTTTTCTTTTACAAAGCATTTATTTTCCAAGTTGAATTGGTTTTCAGTTTAAATGCTACATGATTTAAAAAAAAAATGTGTTTACATTTAAACACTTTAAATGTTTTTTTGTCTCTTATCTTGAGATGTGGTTATTTTCTCTGTTTGATATCCATCAGCTTGGACTCTGTAAGACGGACGGACATTTTTCAAAAACTGCTCAGATTGACGTTGGTTCTCAGTTTTTCACGTTGCGTTCAGGAACCCCTCGTCTCCTTGGCGGTGGCTCTTCATGTGCGTCTTCAGGCAGTGGCTCTGAGTGAAGGCTTTCGCGCAGACGGTGCATTGGTAGGGTCTCTCTCCGTTGTGCGTCCTCATGTGAACGGTCAGGTGTTCCTGCCGCGAACACGCCTTCCCGCAGATGCTGCACACGAACAGCTTGATGCCCAGGTGGCCCCTCACGTGATTATTCAGATGCGTCTTGCGTTTAAAGAAGCGTCCGCACTCCTTACACTCGTACGGCGCCTCGTTCGTGTGAGTTCGCATGTGCGATTTTCTATAGCTGTTAGACATGAACCCTTTACCGCAGACGGAGCACGGAAACGGCCGCTCGCCTGAGTGCATATTCAGGTGCATCTTCAAACCGCCGTGGGTCACGAAAGTCTTACAGCAGATGTGGCAGAGGAACGTTTTCTCGCGCACCGTGTGGGTTTTCTTGTGAGATCTCAGAGTTCCCGGGAGTTTGAAACGCTTCCCGCAGATCTCACAGCCGTATCGACGCTCGCCAGAATGCGTGGATTTGTGTCTGGTTAACGATCTCATGTCGAATAACGATTTCCCACAAACGTTGCAGATGAAACGCTCTCTCTTGCCGTGAAGCCGTCTGTGAGCCTGAAGCGACCCCTTTAATCCAAACGCCTTCGGACACACGTCGCATTTGTAGGGTTTCTCTTCTCGATGCACCCATCTGTGGATGCTTAAATTGGAGGCGTGTGCAAAGGCTTTCCCGCAGACGTCGCATTTAAATGGCCGGTCGCCCGTGTGCAGCGTGACGTGGCGCTTCAGCCCGGTGACGGTGAGGAAGGACTTCCTGCAGAACGAGCACTCGTGGGTCTTTTTGTATTTGTTTTTCAGATGAGACTTTAATTCCTCGGAGGTTTCGAAGAGGTCGCCACAGACTCCACAGACGCACGGCGCTTCTTCTTCGCCCACGTGACTCCAGGCGTGTTTGACGAGGCTTCCAAGGAGAATGTATGAAATGCCGCACACTTTACACAGATGTTTACCCCCAAACGTCCCTCTCTTAGCGACGCTTGGCCTCGTCTCAGCGTCGGGTTTCCAGTCTCCGTCCGACGCCTCTTTTGCCATTTCGTCATCGCTGGATTCTGCCGCTTCCTGTGTCTCTACTTCCTGTTCCTGTGGTGTGTTGCTGCTGCACGGGTCTGCATGCTGGACAGGACTGGAGAAGAAAAGTATAAAAAACCTACTTTATGCACAGGTGTAGATTGTCGTGTCAAATTATCATAAAATCCTTTAAAACATAATAGTCTTATTCTCTGATTGCCTTTTACTCGGTTAAAGTGTATTGCTAGTCTTGTATGTGTTGAACAGAGACAGATGTTAAGGGTTTACATTTCAGAAAGGCAAAGGAAGTGAAAGGGGGATTTGCAAATGGTTAATGACGAGGGGGTTTTCTGGTGATGAGATGTTTAGATGATGACTTAAGAGAATTGAAGGGTGGGACCAGCTGGATATTGTCTCAACTATATAGTGTGACTGTGAGCTGTGTTCTGGGAGCAGAGCCATTCTCTCCTCTGAGGATGAAGCTGCTCTGTTTTTAAGGGCACGTTGCGTTCAGGAACCCCTCTGCATTTCAGATCCATTTCACTTGTTTTCCGAGAGTGAGAATCGGCGAGCAGACACTGGTATTGGTGTTTTCTGAGTTGTAGATTAAACTGTTTTTAACCTGTTAAGCCCCAAAGCCCCCGTCGGCGGGTCTTTTTTTTTTTTTTATTAATTTGTTTTCTTTGGATGGAATGAATACCTATGGTGATAATTCAATGTAATAGATCATTTTTATAGTCTGGTACCTGAAAAAGGTCAAATGGCACTGATGGAACCAGATGTACCCAAACTTCCCCTCGATTCTATTGGCTCTAACAAAAAAAAAGAGGTGTCAACCATCAAAATCGACCAATGGGTTCCAGAGATATGGCAAATCCACCCAAATGACCCCAGAAGTGGGTTTATTTTGCTAAACCTCTCTAAAAAGGTCAAATTTAACTTGTTTTGCCTCAATCTTGATACAGGGTACTTATTATATGTTATAGTTTGGATTCCTAAAGCTTTTAGTCTACCATCCCATCATTCAAGGGTGGTTTTCACTATAAGTAATGTTTTTTCTTTAGGCGGAGGTAAGAATTTACCTTTTTTTACTATGTTCCATCTGAATTTACTCTGACTGAGAAACATCTATATTGATTCTGACACTTCTACATCCAACTCACAGATGTAACCTTGCTTTGAGAAAAGAAATTATTCATATAACCCTTTTAGAAGTGAAGTTGTAGTCATTTGTTCTGGGCATGTCATTTTCGAGCCTGAAACCTGAAAAACAGGCTCAGGGCTTAACGGGTTAATCACCTTGAACTGAGCTCGGTTTCGTCAGATTTGATCACCACATCATTTGAAAGGTGGCGCTCCTCTTCTTCCTCATCCTCCTCCTCATCCTCTTCTTCATCCTCCTCCTCTTCCTCCGCTCCTTTCTGCAAGAATCAATGCTTTTTATTTGTTTTAGTTTCAAACAATAATACAGTACAATTTATCTTTGAGTCACATTTTCAGTTTTCCAGCTGTATCAATATAATCCTGAATAAGTTTCAAGTCAACCAGTAACAGAGTCCTAACCCAGGGCAACACAAAGAAAGAAGAATGTAATAAAGACATGACCTTAGAAAATAAGACAAGTCCCTCCATTAAGGAGGCTGGCGTTACATTACAGGCTGCTTTTAACATTATTCAGACTCAGCTCTCTGAACTAAAGCTTCTTTTAAATGTTGATAAAACCAAGGTAATGCTCTTTTCTAAAGCCAAAAAGACACCAGAGCCTGCTTTGGATATTGTAACTACGCAAGGAATAAAACTTGAAGTGGTTACCTGTTACAAATACCTTGGTATCTGGCTTGATGACTGTCTCACTTTTAAACGTCATGTCAAAAACCTGCTTAACAAACTGAGGGTTAGGCTAGGTTTCTTCTAGGGCTGTGCAATTAATCGTGTTTTAATCGCAATTACGATTTTGGCCTGCCACAATTACGAAAACAACATAATCGAAAAAAACAATTATTTTGCTTTGCTAGGTTGTGACAGTGCAACATATTTGATCTCATTTATTTTGGTCTCATTTATTTGTATTTATATATGTTTAGTAGCTTGTGGAAGTGCGCTCCAAAATATTTGTTGATCTTGTTTATTGGTATTTATTATTTTGATATTATTTATTTAAATGTATCATTTATTTTTGTATTGGTTTTTTCAGTTGAATTATACGTTCAGGGTAATCAACAGTTAAAAAGATACTGTTCAAATTATTATTTGTATCTGTTTTAAAGTTCAATAAATGGATGTTTTCAAAGTCAATGAATAATCGTATTTAATAATCGTGATATCAATTATTGACCCAAATAATCGTGATTATGATTTTTGCCATAATCGCACAGCACTAGTTTCTTCTACAGGAACAAGTCCTGTTTCTCGCTCGAGGCCAGAAAAAGGCTCTGTGACCTTTTGACCTGTGCTGGACTATGGTGATCTGATCTATATGAATGCACCTGCCCATCACCTGGTCAAGTTAGATGCCGCCTATCACAGTGCACTGAGATTTGTGACAAACTATAAAGCATTAACCCATCACTGTACCCTGTATGCAAGGGCTGGTTTGCCTTCACTAACTGTACGGAGGCTCAGTCACTGGTACATTTTTATATACAAAGCCATGTTAGGGAAACTTCCATCCTACATCTGCTCCCTGATCTCACGGCGAATTGTAAGTGGCTACTGCCTGAGATCGCATGCTGTGGTTTTATTAAATGTGCCAACTGCTAGGACTGTCTTAGGGAAGATAGCATTGAGATGCGCAGCTCCACTGTCCTGGAATAGTCTGCAATTAAAATGGAAACTGAGCAATCTGGTGCCACTAAATGTTTTTAAAGCTCGGTTGGATGCTACTCAATCAGAAGCTGTTGGTGCCTGTTCATGTGGATAGTTATGTAAACTGTAATCCCTGTAATGATGCTGTTTGATGAACGATGGAAAGAGAATACAAGTGACATACAACAGTGTTAACTATTCTTACTGTATTAGCAGATGCATTGTGTTTTTCTCACATACAGATATCCCACACTCTAGTGGAGGTTCTGGTTCCAGAGAATCAATGCTTTATAAAATACAAATAGCGCCTCTTTAAGAATAATAATAATAATAATACATTTAATTTATATAGCACACTTTAAAACCAACGTTGATGTAGAAGAGACATGAAGAAGAGACGACACATGTTGATGAAGAAGAGACATGAAGAAGAGACGACACATGTTGATGTAGAAGAGACATGAAGAAGAGGGGACACGTGTTGATGTAGAAGAGACATGAAGAAGAGGGGACACATGTTGATGAAGAAGAGACATGAAGAAGAGGGGACACATGTTGATGTAGAAGAGACATGAAGAAGAGGGGACACATGTTGATGTAGAAGAGACATGAAGAAGAGGGGACACATGTTGATGTAGAAGAGACATGAAGAAGAGGGGACACATGTTGATGTAGAAGAGACATGAAGAAGAGGGGACACATGTTGATGAAGAAGAGACATGAAGAAGAGACATGAAGAAGAGACGACACATGTTGATGAAGAAGAGACATGAAGAAGAGGGGACACATGTTGATGAAGAAGAGACATGAAGAAGAGGGGACACGTGTTGATGTAGAAGAGACGACACATGTTGATGTAGAAGAGACATGAAGAAGAGGGGACACGTGTTGATGTAGAAGAGACATGAAGAAGAGGGGACACATGTTGATGAAGAAGAGACATGAAGAAGAGGGGACACATGTTGATGTAGAAGAGACATGAAGAAGAGACGACACATGTTGATGTAGAAGAGACATGAAGAAGAGGGGACACGTGTTGATGTAGAAGAGACATGAAGAAGAGGGGACACATGTTGATGAAGAAGAGACATGAAGAAGAGGGGGACACATGTTGATGTAGAAGAGACATGAAGAAGAGGGGACACATGTTGATGAAGAAGAGACATGAAGAAGAGGGGACACATGTTGATGTAGAAGAGACATGAAGAAGAGGGGACACATGGTGATGATGAAGAAGAGGGGACACATGTTGATGTAGAAGAGACATGAAGAAGAGGGGACACATGGTGATGATGAAGAGACATGAAGAAGAGGGGACACATGTTGATGAAGAAGAGACATGAAGAAGAGGGGACATGTTGATGTAGAAGAGACATGAAGAAGAGGGGACATGTTGATGTAGAAGAGAGATGAAGAAGAGGGGACACATGTTGATGTAGAAGAGACATGAAGAAGAGGGGACACATGTTGATGTAGAAGAGACATGAAGAAGAGGGGACATGTTGATGTAGAAGAGACATGAAGAAGAGGGGACACATGTTGATGTAGAAGAGACATGAAGAAGAGGGGACACATGTTGATGTAGAAGAGACATGAAGAAGAGGGGGACACATGTTGATGTAGAAGAGACATGAAGAAGAGGGGACACATGTTGATGTAGAAGAGACATGAAGAAGAGGGGACATGTTGATGTAGAAGAGACATGAAGAAGAGGGGACACATGTTGATGTAGAAGAGACATGAAGAAGAGGGGACACATGTTGATGTAGAAGAGACATGAAGAAGAGGGGACATGTTGATGTAGAAGAGACATGAAGAAGAGGGGACACATGTTGATGTAGAAGAGACATGAAGAAGAGGGGACATGTTGATGTAGAAGAGACATGAAGAAGAGGGGACACATGTTTATGTAGAAGAGACATGAAGAAGAGGGGACATATGTTGATGTAGAAGAGACATGAAGAAGAGGGGACATGTTGATGTAGAAGAGACATGAAGAAGAGGGGACACATGTGATGTAGAAGAGACGTGAAGAAGAGGGAACATGTTGATGTAGAAGAGACGTGAAGAAGAGGGGGACCATGTTGATGTAGAAGAGACATGAAGAAGAGGGGACACATGTTGATGTAGAAGAGACATGAAGAAGAGGGGACACATGTTGATGTAGAAGAGACATGAAGAAGAGGGGACACATGTTGATGTAGAAGAGACATGAAGAAGAGGGGACATGTTGATGTAGAAGAGACATGAAGAAGAGACGACACATGTTGATGTAGAAGAGACATGAAGAAGAGGGGACACATGTTGATGTAGAAGAGACATGAAGAAGAGGGGACATGTTGATGTAGAAGAGACATGAAGAAGAGGGGGACACATGTTGATGTAGAAGAGACATGAAGAAGAGGGGACACATGTTGATGTAGAAGAGACATGAAGAAGAGGGGACACATGTTGATGTAGAAGAGACATGAAGAAGAGGGGACATGTTGATGTAGAAGAGACATGAAGAAGAGGGGACACATGTTGATGTAGAAGAGACATGAAGAAGAGGGGACACATGTTGATGTAGAAGAGACATGAAGAAGAGGGGACATGTTGATGTAGAAGAGACATGAAGAAGAGGGGACACATGTTGATGTAGAAGAGACATGAAGAAGAGGGGACACATGTTGATGTAGAAGAGACATGAAGAAGAGGGGACACATGTTGATGTAGAAGAGACATGAAGAAGAGGGGACATGTTGATGTAGAAGAGACATGAAGAAGAGGGGACACATGTTGATGTAGAAGAGACATGAAGAAGAGGGGACATGTTGATGTAGAAGAGACATGAAGAAGAGGGGACACATGTTGATGTAGAAGAGACATGAAGAAGAGGGGACACATGTTGATGTAGAAGAGACATGAAGAAGAGGGGACATGTTGATGTAGAAGAGACATGAAGAAGAGGGGACACATGTTGATGTAGAAGAGACATGAAGAAGAGGGGACACATGTTGATGTAGAAGAGACATGAAGAAGAGGGGACACATGCTGATGTAGAAGAGACATGAAGAAGAGGGGACACATGGTGATGATGAAGAGACATGAAGAAGAGGGGACACATGGTGATGTAGAAGAGACATGAAGCAGAGGGGACACATGTTGATGTAGAAGAGACATGAAGAAGAGGGGACACATGTTGATGTAGAAGAGACATGAAGAAGAGGGGACATGTTGATGTAGAAGAGACATGAAGAAGAGGGGACACATGTTGATGAAGAAGAGACATGAAGAAGAGGGGACACATGTTGATGAAGAAGAGACATGAAGAAGAGGAGACACATGTTGATGTAGAAGAGACATGAAGAAGAGGGGACATGTTGATGTAGAAGAGACATGAAGAAGAGGGGACACGTGTTGATGTAGAAGAGACATGAAGAAGAGACGACACATGTTGATGAAGAAGAGACATGAAGAAGAGGGGACACATGTTGATGTAGAAGAGACATGAAGAAGAGGGGACACATGTTGATGTAGAAGAGACATGAAGAAGAGGGGACACATGCTGATGTAGAAGAGACATGAAGAAGAGGGGACACATGGTGATGATGAAGAGACATGAAGAAGAGGGGACACATGGTGATGTAGAAGAGACATGAAGCAGAGGGGACACATGTTGATGTAGAAGAGACATGAAGAAGAGGGGACACATGTTGATGTAGAAGAGACATGAAGAAGAGGGGACATGTTGATGTAGAAGAGACATGAAGAAGAGGGGACACATGTTGATGAAGAAGAGACATGAAGAAGAGGGGACACATGTTGATGAAGAAGAGACATGAAGAAGAGGAGACACATGTTGATGTAGAAGAGACATGAAGAAGAGGGGACATGTTGATGTAGAAGAGACATGAAGAAGAGGGGACACGTGTTGATGTAGAAGAGACATGAAGAAGAGACGACACATGTTGATGTAGAAGAGACATGAAGAAGAGGGGACACGTGTTGATGTAGAAGAGACATGAAGAAGAGGGGACACATGTTGATGAAGAAGAGACATGAAGAAGAGGGGACACATGTTGATGTAGAAGAGACATGAAGAAGAGACGACACATGTTGATGTAGAAGAGACATGAAGAAGAGGGGACACGTGTTGATGTAGAAGAGACATGAAGAAGAGGGGACACATGTTGATGAAGAAGAGACATGAAGAAGAGGGGACACATGTTGATGTAGAAGAGACATGAAGAAGAGGGGACACATGTTGATGAAGAAGAGACATGAAGAAGAGGGGACACATGTTGATGTAGAAGAGACATGAAGAAGAGGGGACACATGGTGATGATGAAGAAGAGGGGACACATGTTGATGTAGAAGAGACATGAAGAAGAGGGGACACATGGTGATGATGAAGAGACATGAAGAAGAGGGGACACATGTTGATGAAGAAGAGACATGAAGAAGAGGGGACATGTTGATGTAGAAGAGACATGAAGAAGAGGGGACATGTTGATGTAGAAGAGAGATGAAGAAGAGACGACACATGTTGATGTAGAAGAGACATGAAGAAGAGGGGACACATGTTGATGTAGAAGAGACATGAAGAAGAGGGGACATGTTGATGTAGAAGAGACATGAAGAAGAGGGGACACATGTTGATGTAGAAGAGACATGAAGAAGAGGGGACACATGTTGATGTAGAAGAGACATGAAGAAGAGGGGACATGTTGATGTAGAAGAGACATGAAGAAGAGGGGACACATGTTGATGTAGAAGAGACATGAAGAAGAGGGGACACATGTTGATGTAGAAGAGACATGAAGAAGAGGGGACATGTTGATGTAGAAGAGACATGAAGAAGAGGGGACATGTTGATGTAGAAGAGACGTGAAGAAGAGGGGACACATGTTGATGTAGAAGAGACGTGAAGAAGAGGGGACATGTTGATGTAGAAGAGACATGAAGAAGAGGGGACACATGTTGATGTAGAAGAGACATGAAGAAGAGGGGACACATGTTGATGTAGAAGAGACATGAAGAAGAGGGGACACATGTTGATGTAGAAGAGACATGAAGAAGAGGGGACATGTTGATGTAGAAGAGACATGAAGAAGAGACGACACATGTTGATGTAGAAGAGACATGAAGAAGAGGGGACACATGTTGATGTAGAAGAGACATGAAGAAGAGGGGGACATGTTGATGTAGAAGAGACATGAAGAAGAGGGGACACATGTTGATGTAGAAGAGACATGAAGAAGAGGGGACACATGTTGATGTAGAAGAGACATGAAGAAGAGGGGACACATGTTGATGTAGAAGAGACATGAAGAAGAGGGGACATGTTGATGTAGAAGAGACATGAAGAAGAGGGGACACATGTTGATGTAGAAGAGACATGAAGAAGAGGGGACACATGTTGATGTAGAAGAGACATGAAGAAGAGGGGACATGTTGATGTAGAAGAGACATGAAGAAGAGGGGACACATGTTGATGTAGAAGAGACATGAAGAAGAGGGGACACATGTTGATGTAGAAGAGACATGAAGAAGAGGGGACACATGTTGATGTAGAAGAGACATGAAGAAGAGGGGACATGTTGATGTAGAAGAGACATGAAGAAGAGGGGACACATGTTGATGTAGAAGAGACATGAAGAAGAGGGGACTTGTGTTGATGTAGAAGAGACATGAAGAAGAGGGGACACATGTTGATGTAGAAGAGACATGAAGAAGAGGGGACTTGTGTTGATGTAGAAGAGACATGAAGAAGAGGGGACACATGTTGATGAAGAAGAGACATGAAGAAGAGGGGACACATGTTGATGAAGAAGAGACATGAAGAAGAGGGGACACATGTTGATGTAGAAGAGACATGAAGAAGAGGGGACACATGTTGATGTAGAAGAGACATGAAGAAGAGGGGACATGTTGATGTAGAAGAGACATGAAGAAGAGGGGACACATGTTGATGTAGAAGAGACATGAAGAAGAGGGGACACATGTTGATGTAGAAGAGACATGAAGAAGAGGGGACACGTGTTGATGTAGAAGAGACATGAAGAAGAGGGGACACATGTTGATGAAGAAGAGACATGAAGAAGAGGGGACACATGTTGATGTAGAAGAGACATGAAGAAGAGGGGACACATGTTGATGTAGAAGAGACATGAAGAAGAGGGGACACATGTTGATGTAGAAGAGACATGAAGAAGAGGGGACACATGTTGATGTAGAAGAGACATGAAGAAGAGGGGACACATGTTGATGTAGAAGAGACATGAAGAAGAGGGGACATGTTGATGTAGAAGAGACATGAAGAAGAGGGGACACGTGTTGATGTAGAAGAGACATGAAGAAGAGGGGACACATGTTGATGAAGAAGAGACATGAAGAAGAGGGGACACATGTTGATGTAGAAGAGACATGAAGAAGAGGGGACACATGTTGATGTAGAAGAGACATGAAGAAGAGGGGACACATGTTGATGAAGAAGAGACATGAAGAAGAGGGGACACATGTTGATGAAGAGACATGAAGAAGAGGGGACACATGTTGATGAAGAAGAGACATGAGGAAGAGGGGACACATGTTGATGAAGAAGAGACATGAAGAAGAGGGGACACATGATGATGAAGAAGAGACATGAGGAAGAGGGTTTTGCAGAATAGGTGAGTAGTACCTTGAGACGGAGGTAGAGGAGGGTCTTCTCCCCCCCGCTGCTCCTGGTCCTCAGGACCTCCTCTGGAGTCAGTCTCTCCAGGCGGATCCTCTGCAGCCGGCGGCTCCGGTCCGTCTGGAGGAACTCGAGTCGGCTGCTGTCCGTCAGGCGAGGGAAAGAGGAGCGGAGGAGAAGCAGGAAGTCTTCCTCTGAGAGACCGCGGGGGAAACACAGCTCCTTCACCGGGTGCTTCTGAAACACTGAGAGGAGGAGGAGCAACTTCACTGACTGTTTTTAAACTATACACAAGTGTGCAAGGAAATCAAACACATCCACACAAACGTCACACACGAAAAAACTACATTTACATTTTAAACTTCAGTGCTAACGACTGATTCTTTCTACTTTTCGTAACGACGGTTTCTTCTAGGGCTGTGCAATTAATCGTATTTTAATCGCAATTACGATTTTGGCCTGCCACAATTACGAAAACAACATAATCGAAAAAAACGATTATTTAGCTTTGCTTGGTTGTTACCGTGCAACATATTTGATCTAATTAATTTTGGTCTCATTTATTTGTATTTATCATATTTATATATGTTTAGTAGCTTGGGGAAGTGCGCTCCAAAATATTTGTTGATCTTGTTTATTGGTATTTATTATTTTGATATTATTTATTTAAATGTATCATTTATTTCATTTATTTTTGTATTGGTTTTTCAGTTGAATTATACGTTCAGGGAAATCAACAGTTAAAAAGATACTGTTCAAATTATTATTTGTATTTTAAAGTTCAATAAATGGATGTTTTCAAAGTCAATGAATAATCGTATTTAATAATCGTGATATCAATTATTGACCAAAATAATCGTGATTATGATTTTTGCCATAATCGAGCAGCCCTAGTTTCTTGGATTAAAAAGAACAAAAATAAAACTCTAAAAATCTTTAATGGCATATATTTCTTGTAAACATGTTTTAGTTTTAAAATGTGATGTTTATAAGCGGCTTAGTTTTTTCAAAAGTCCGTGTAAATATACACAACTTTTACCGGTTTCTAGACGAGACGTGAGTAAATGATCTGAAGTTTAAAAGAAATACGAGGTAACCATGAAGTTGTTCAAATCTGTATGAGGATATTAAAGGTGGGGTAGGTAAGTTTGAGAAAGCAGCTCGAGTGTGCTAGAATCTGAAAATACTAGTTTAGTCTAGAAAAAGGTAAATGTGTGCATTTCATTATAAAGTAGTGTATATTTACAGGAACAGGTACACAAACTAAGAAGCTTATAAACACCAGGTTTAAAACACAAAGAGGTTTCACCCTCCACCTGACGGGTTGAGCCTCGTTTAGCTGCGAGTCGCTCCACCGCTGAGGGAGAGTGTGTCGGGTGTGGTTTGGAATTGGGCCTCTCAATAAGTTTTGAATGTGATGATGTCACTTCCTGTTTACCTTTGTTTGACAGCACGTCTGAGCGGCAGGTTCCCAGCATGCAGACTCTCAGGAGGAGGTTGTCGGTTTGCTTCTTCTCCAGGGGGGGTCTGCCTCTCCTGCGCCTGGCAGTCTGAACTCTGGGCGGCGACAACCTGCAGGAGGAGAGTGTACATTACATCATACTCTCACATCCGAAAGGCCAACACTCTTGAATCAAAACAGATCTCAAAGCTCACGTATTCTCTCTCTAACTAAAAGGTGTTCATCTGTGAAGAACTGTCATGATGAAATACTGTGCAACGTTATCTCAACTAGAACTCTTATTTAGAAACCAGATCTGAATGGTTCAGAGCAGGACCGGTGAAGAGATGCTTGATATCTCTTGTCGTTGTAAAAGTTATTTGTTTTTGGTTGTTTTGTACAAAGAAATGATTTGTGTAAAAAATGAATCCAATATGACGGATGCTGATGACGATGACCTGAACTTGTATTTTCATGAACAATGTACGCTGGGGGGGGGGGGGGGGCAGAAACGTTTTTAAGAGAATGTATTCTGCTGTCTGTCCAGCTGCAGGTGGAGAGGGGGGGGGGGGGAGAGGGGGGGGGGGGGGTTTATTTTAGGGCTGTGCGATTATGGCAAAAATCATAATCACGATTATTTTGGTCAATAATTGATATCACGATTATTAAATACGATTATTCATTGACTTTGAAAACATCAATTTATTGAACTTTAAAATACAAATAATAATTTGAACAGTATCTTTTTAACTGTTGATTTCCCTGAACGTATAATTCAACTGAAAAACCAATACACAAATAAATAAAATAAATGATAAATAAATAATATCAAAATAATAAATACCAATAAACAAGGTCAACAAATATTTTGGAGCGCACTTCAACAAGCTACTAAACATATATAAATATGATAAATAAAAATGAATGAGATCAAATATGTTGCACGGTCACAACCTAGCAAAGCAAAATAATTGTTTTTTTCGATTATGTTGTTTTCGTAATTGTGGCAGGCCAAAATCGTGATTGCGATTAAAATACGATTAATTGCACAGCCCTAGTTTATTGTGTATACCTTAAAGTGGACCTATCATGCTATATTTGAATAATATAGTGTAGGCCCATACCTATATAAGGCATATTTATACTTTTTTTTTTTTTTTAAATACCAAACAGATCATGCATTTTAGCCATGCCTCATTTCGCTCAATTTGACATTGTTTAGCTCTGTTTTAGCTCTGGGCAGATTCAGTGAGAACAGCACCACCTACTGGCCTGGCATATGTACTACAGCGTCTCCAGCGCTTTCGAACGGCAATGGCCGTGGCTGTCTCCTCCTGATTGGTGGAGTTGGCCCAATAGCCGTAGCGCCACCGTCCTGACATCAGGACAGTGATCAAATCTGGATCAGTTTTTATCAGATCCGTTGCAGCCCCTTTTTTAGAGATTTGGGTATGGAGGAAAATAGAGAGGGTTGTGTTTTCTGACACTTGGTGAGTTCCCTGGAACACCGGGGACACATATTCATGTAGAAAAGACGTACACAAGTGCATTTTGCATGATAGGTCCCCTTTAAGCGTTGTTTTTATTTTTGCTTCTCTTTGTTATAATTATTGGGTTTTTTTTCTAACATGTTCAATAAATAATAAATTGACTAATAAAATAAAATATAAATAGCTTTCAAACTCTGATCAACCACTTTACTCACAATTGGATTAGGACTACTGTTTCTGATTTGATGTAAAGCGTCTTTGAGCACGAGGAAAAGCGCTATACAAATCCAATGTATTATTATTATTATAATTATCATACTGAAGGAGCATTTAAAGTTCACCATCTGCTCTTCTTCTTCTACTTCTACCAACAGGTAGCAGCAATAACCCAAATGAGTCGTACATAATGTTAGAGCTGTTTGTTGTTGTGAGGTTAGTGGTCTTCTCTTTTGTGGAGTGGAGACATGATGTTTCTCCATTTGCTAGCAGGTGTGTTTTAATCCTATATATAGTTTGTTTATCTGTTCTGTGTGTCTCAGCCCCTCCTCTTCTGTTCTTGGTGTGAACATCAGACCCTCTGCAGACCCCCCTCTGCAGACCCCCCTCTGCAGACCCTCTGCAGACCCTCTGCAGACCCCCTGATGCAGACCCCCTGCAGACCCTCTGCAGACCCCCTGATGCAGACTGCTTGACTCTGTGACCATTTACCCTCTATAAGAATAAACTCACCGTCTTATTCCATGAACCTTCATGTCAGTATAACGGAGAGGTTTCCTCACCATGTCATTATTATTCGCTGGTTAGTCTCAGGAGTCACACAGAGGGTTTATTCTGAAGTGACATCAGAGCGATGTGTTTTGTTGTTTACCTGCTGTACGCTTCTGTCTCGTCAGCTGATGAGGTGACGGAGCCCGACGGAGACGCTCCTTTCTGACGAGGACCGACAGATTCAAGGCTCCCAGAATCCTCTCTGTTCTGTGATTTTATAGTGAAAACATGATTTAGTAAACTCGTAGTTTTAGCATATTCTTTTGTGGAACACATCCTGCAAACATTGAGGTTGCTCCGCATCCATTTGGTTCAGACAGAAGGGGAAAGACCCTTCATCGCACGTGGAGAAGAACAGCCTGATATTACAGATGTGTTCATGTGTATATTTGTACCTTGAGGCGGATGTAGAGGTTGGAGGATCGGATTCTGCTGCTGATCTTCTCCGGCGTCAGAGAGTCCACCTGCAGCGGCTTCAGCGTCTTCGTGCGGTCGGAGGTGAAGAACTCGAAGTCGTCCGTCAGCCGAGGAAACGTGGAGCGAAGAAGAAGCAGGAACTGTTCCTCCGAGAGACCGCGGGGGAAACACACCTCCTGCACCGGGCCCACTGAGAGGGGAACACAGTTATAGTGTGTGTGTGTGTGTGTGTCAAACACTGAGAGGGGAACACAGTTATAGTGTGTGTGTGTGTGTGTGTGTGTGTGTGTGCGCGTGTGTGTGTCAAACACTGAGAGGGGAACAGTTATAGTGTGTGTGTGTGTGTGCGTGTGTGTGTGTGTCAAACACTGAGAGGAGAACACAGTTATAGTGTGTGTGTGTGTGTGTGTGTCAAACACTGAGAGGGGAACAGTTATAGTGTGTGTGTGTGCGTGTGTGTGTGTGTATGTGTCAAACACTGAGAGGGGAACACAGTTATAGTGTGTGTGTGTGTGTGTGTGTGTGTGTGTCAAACACTGAGAGGGGAACACAGTTATAGGGTGTGTGTGTGTGTGTGTGTGTGTGCGTGTGTGTGTGTGTCAAACACTGAGAGGGGAACAGTTATAGTGTGTGTGTGTGCGTGTGTGTGTGTGTGTGTGTGTGTGTGTGTGTGTGTGTGTGTGTCAAACACTGAGAGGGGAACACAGTTATAGGGTGTGTGTGTGTGTGTGTGTGTGTGTGTGTGTGTGTGTGTGTGTGTGTGTGTGTGTGTGTGTGTGTGTGTGTGTGTGTGTGTGTGTGTCACCGGTGTTGGAGAGAGCGAGGGTGCGGGCGTCCTCCAGGATGCAGACCCTGATGAGGACTTCTCTCTGAGGCCTGTCAGACGCTCGGGGGGGAATCGGCCTGCAGGACACAGACATTGATCCTAGGGGTTACGGCCCGTCCACACAGCAGCGTTAAAAAAATCTTGGAGGTGGGCGTATCTGAAGCTTGGGGATTTTTTGCGAGCAAGGCACCAACAACCAATCACATGAATCTCCCGCCCCCGACATACAAATCAAAAAAGCCCGAAGTAAACTGGATATAAACTCCCCAAACAGGCGAAAACCTACCACTGTCTCTGCCACCTCCCTCCATGCCTGGCTCCTCCGGTTTGTATCCCGGTAGGTAAATAGGGACTGGTCATAAAGCACCGGGTGATTCCCTACCGCTAATTTCTCCTCCATGTTTTGGAATATGAGGAAATGACCTGCGGTATTTCTCTCCCAGCATACACACGGTTTGATTGGCTAGCACTTGAACTGTCAGATTTGCATACACAGGATTTGATTGGCTGACGCTTCCACCTCAGCTTCAAAAGTTGAACATTGCTCAACTTTGAATCCTGAAAATCCTGAAAATCTCCGCTCTGCTTCCCACAATGCAGTTCGGCGAAAAGTGAGGCAAAGTGACTTCACCCCATTCAAAGTGAATGGGGTGAAGCGTTTCAAGATTTTTTAACGCTGCTGTGTGGACGGGCCGTAAGGGTTATTTGGAGAGTCTGAATAACACAAAACAAGTGGCGACGGTTAACCCACAAGTACCGTCTTTCTTTTACCTCGGTGTTATTTGAAAATCGGGGTCTTTGGGATCTGGCTTCGGCTGCTCTTCCTCTTCATCATCATCGTCGTACCACAGCATCCCGAGGCTCCCCGTGTCCTGCTCGGCTGCAAACAGATTCATTTCACTAACTAGTTACTAGGCAGATTAAACTTTGAATACATACTTCTGAACAGAGATGGGGTCGTTACTAAAAAAAAGTAATATATTACATATTACTTTAAAAAAAAGTAATATATTACACTACTTCGTTACTCTCTACATAAAGTAACTCGTTACTTTACTCGTTACTTTACTCGCAGGGCCGGCCCGCCCCTCCCTACAGGCAGATCACGCAGACTGCTAAAGTTTCAAATGTTCTCTTTAGTTCAGTTTCCATTGTCGCATAAGACTGATCCAGATAGCTCTGACTATGGCTGTCCTCTGTCTCCTGCTATCTGTATTTTGCGCAGTATATCTCTGAACGATGCGATGGTGATTCCACTGTGCAAATGGGCAACATTTCCTCTACTATGAAGGATGCTACAAGCCTGTCCATCTCTGCTTTGGTTACCGGTCCTCCAAATTCTAATTTGTGCCGCTTCGGAGTCGGCGGCGGCGCACTCACAACATCCTCACTCTGGGTTCGGGGGTCCGGTCCTTAGCTATTAGCTTCACCTTAGCATGTGTTCTTTGCAGGTGTTTGTTGAGGTTTGACGTGGTGTTTGCAGCAGTGGATAACAGCTTCTGGCCTGGACACAGTTTGCACCTCACCGTCACATTCCTGTCTATTCTTCGGACGAACTCAAAATAATGGGCATACCTCCACCCCTCGGAAGTTATCGCTGACTCAGCCATGTTTATGCAGCACTGCACGTGGAGATGTGGACGCACAAGTTGCGCAGATTACGTACATATAAACCTGCGGCGGAAACCCCTCTTGTCTGTCAGTGTGATTATGACTGATTTTATAAAAGTAACGAAGTAACGCGTGTCGGGGCAATGTTAGTAACTGTAGTGTGATTACTGAATTATAAAAGTAACGCGTTACACTACTCCGTTACCAACAAAAGTAATATTATTACAGTAACGCGTTACACCCAACTCTGCTTCTGAATATACGTGACACACCTGTAATATGCATTTTAAGAGCAGAACTGTTTTAACACACTCTTAGATTCACCTGGCTGCTGCTCCTCTTCTTCTTCACTGGAAACCACCACATGGTCTTCAGCATCTGGAACCAGAGCTTTAATACGAAAACAATCATATGACTCAGTTAATCCCCTTTAGCTGGTATAGCAGTACATACGGTATAGCAGGTACATTTAGTGTCACTTTTTGATGCCGAATTGTCAATACTAGAATAAAAAAGGTGTGTTAGTGTTTATTTAATTCTCTCTGAAGTCGGTATCGTGATTTTTGAATCAGAATACCTTTATTGGTCCCAAAGAGGGGACATTTACATGTTACATCAGAGCCAAAGACAGCTTAATGTTAACTAATACAAATAAATACACGATTTACAAAATACACATCCTGTAAGAGTTCTGAAGATTTAGCAGCCAGGTATACATGCACAGTTATTAACGGCATATATTGTATTTCACAACAAGGGGTGTTATAGCACTGTGTGTGTGTGTGTGTGTGGACCTCTCCTCTGCAGGTATATCATTGTTATTGTATCTGTAACTGTATTCATCTTGTGTGAATCTGTACTTTCACTCGTATCTTGTATTTCATATATAATTCCCCCAAAGTGATCACGTTTTAAATGGACTTCCTGTAATGAAAGGAGCTTTGTTACGACATGCAAAGGTTGTATTTCATGTATAAGTTCCTCCATGCTCCACCTCTCCTCTGCAGATTGATCCGGGGCTTCAGGAGCTCCAGCTGGATGTTCTGCTGGCCGATCTCCCTCCTCAGGCCCGAGGCCTCCTCCTCGTACCCGGACACAGTTCTCTGTAACACCGCCAGGATCTCCTGCAGCGCGGTGCTCAGCTTCTCCGTCACGATGCCTCTCAGGATGTCGCATTTAGACATTTCCTCCACACTCTCGGAGCTGTCCTTCCAGTAAAACATGCTTTCATTTGTCTCCAAAGGGGCGATTTTACGTAGGAAAACTTCGCGCATCAAGACGTGGTGGTGTGCTTCCAGGTGGAGGAGCGGTGTGGCTGCATAATGGGTCCGATGAGAAACAAAACACAGACACATTCCCTGTAGAAGTTTTTTTATTTTTGTTGTCGTTAATACACAATTAGTTTTGATTGCCTTTTTAGTTTGTGTGCATTAGTTTCAATTATCTTTCTTTCTTAAACCAGTAAACGGAAAAGAGGCTGCAATGTTTATTTACTTTGAGTTTTTTACCTTAAAAACGGCGGAGTTCCCGGAAGTCATTTCAAAATAAAAGCCCTCGGCTGCAGTCGAATTGTCCACAAATCTTCTCCTATCGTCTATTCCTCTCCTCTGTGTGAAACGTCTCAGGGTTAAGGAATAGTGGATAGGAGAATTCAAAAGGACTTAGGAGAAGAGACTGCACTTTCACTATCCGACGTGTTTATGATGCGCCAGCAGAGGTCATAAATGTGCGCCTGCTGCTGTGGGGAAACTATGGAAACTACAGTTTTCTATACAGCGGACTACAACATGGATGTTTAATAAGAACGAGGGACTACTGTAAACTCATCTAGAGACTCTGCACCGTGCTCTGATGCTGTTGTTTTATGCTTTATGAACGGGGACAACAGAGAAACATATTCTTCATGACCAAAGTTGGAATTGAAATAAAAAAGGAAAGTGAAACTTATGCTCGTCACCCTCTCCCTCCGGTCCACATTAATACAAATGATCCCAATACGTATGATTGTATGAAAAGATCTTCAAATCAATACAAATGTATTTATTATAAACGTTAGTCCTTAACATCTATCACTGTGTGTATCACCATTCAAACATCTTTTAAAAGTTGAACAAACCCCACACAGCTCAGTAAAGACTGTGAAATGTTGACTTTATTTGATCATTTCAGTAAAAACTAACGTTCATATTTCTCTTTTTGATTATAATACTGATGAACGTTCAAAACAAAGCACTTTGGCATGACAACCGATTATGACCGAGGAATTATATCATGAACGTTACGGTGCTTATTAAGCATTTTAAAACGTATGTGGTAAGTTGCCAAAGTGCTTTGTTTTGAACGTTCATCAGTATTATAATCAAAAAGAGAAATATGAACGTTAGTTTTTACTGAAATGATCAAATAAAGTCAACATTTCACAGTCTTTACTGAGCTGCAGGGGCGTAGCACAAAACTCCGGGCCCTAGCTGTCTCTGTGGGCCCCTTCCTCTCTAGATCCATGTCTCTAATGCACCTTTTAAAATGTATTTACAAATGACTGAGTCAACCACTGTACACATGAATCTAGCGGTTATTAGGGAAGTCACTAATGAACTAAAGTAGAACTAAAATATGAATAATAATAATAGAAGTAATAATACTCTGTGCACATGTCAACCCTCTTTCCTCAACATACTGTAGTTTACAATGACTTGACTATGGATAAATGAGGTTTGCTTATCATGCTCAAGAGAACATTCTTCATGTTTATTTAAATATTTATCATTCCCACGGTATAAGACAAAACAAAACACCATCTTAGTTTTCTAACCACTACATTGAGAGTGCTTGCTATACTGCATATCAACAGACAGCTGAACAAGACTTCACAAGTCATGATTATTTGCATAACACACAAAACATCTGATGCTTTGGATAATATGATTGATCTTGCAGTTATTGAACACATATGAAGAATGTCTAACTTCAAACTCTTATGTGTCGTATGGAACTGATGATATTGGAGTTCATTCCCCAGTACATTTGACGGGTCTTCTTGTTAGCAAAATCATTAGCTGACACTTCTTCTTTGAATGATCTGCGTTTAGAGCAAGCCACTTAGTTCGCAGGCGCTGAAGCAAATTCTCATTGAATTACATCGGGGAAGATCTGTCCGTTATCTGTCTGTCCAGCTGCAGGTGGAGAGGGGGGGGGGGTTATCTGTCTGTCCAGCTGCAGGTGGAGAGGGGGGTTATCTGTCTGCCAGCTGCAGGTGGAGAGGGGGGGTTACCTGTTCAGTGTCCTCCTCTCCACCACAGCTTCAAAGGGGTCCAGCTTGATGCCAGGTGGAGAGGGGGGGGGGTTTATCTGTGTGTCCAACAGCATCAGAGCACGGTGCAGAGTCTCTAGATGAGTTTACAGTAGTCCCTCGTTCTTATTAAACATCCATGTTGTAGTCCGCTGTATAGAAAACTGTAGTTTCCATAGTTTCCCCACAGCAGCAGGCGCACATTTATGACCTCCGCTGGCGCATCATAAACACGTCGGATAGTGGAAGTGCAGTCGATTCTCTAAAGCACCGCAGTCTCTTCTCCTAAGTCCTTTTGAATTCTCCTATCCACTATCCCTTAACCCCATGACGTTTCACTCAGAGGTCAAGGGTTAGACGTTAGGAGCTGATTTTTGGACTATTCGACTGCAGCCGAAGTTTCAAAGCTCTTTTCCTATCATCTAGAGCAGGGGTCTCCGGCCCGCGACTTCATTTTCTGTGGCCCCGCAAGAGCTTGCAAAGAATATAATACGTTTATTATACGGTTACATGCCGCTTTACAGAAGCAGGTTGCCCATAAACTACATGTCCCACAATGCATCTCGTTTTGTGACATGCGCACTGAAGAGACTTGCAATTACTTGCCCTGGACTTCTGCTTTCAAACGTAGATAGTTACTAAGTTATTATCCTATCTGATAATAATCCAATTCAGAGGCAATAATGTAATATAATACATTATTTTATATATATATTATATATTTATATAGTTACAACCGGCCCTTTGAGTGCAACCATAATGCTAATGTGGCCCGTGATGAATTTGAGTTTGACACCCCTGCTCTAGAGAATCAGCTCTCATCATGGCTGCCACTGAGGAACTTCCGGGTCATTTCACTCCGTTAGGAAGGTTCCTGAGAGAAACTGACAATTTGAGCGCAGCCTTGAGAACCAACAACACTTAATGATACATAGAGATTATAAGATATGGTGTGACTCACAAGAGACAGTTTGAAATGCCCTTTGAGTCTAAAAAGTAAAATATATAAGAAGAAAAAACGCCAGACGAGTGGAGGCTTCACCCGGAGGTGGTGAAGCAGGTCTGGACTCAGTTCGGGAGAGCAGAGGTGGACCTGTTCACCAACCGGCGCAACAGCCACTGTGCTCTGTGGTTCTCCCTGGCCCGGTGGGACAACCCGCCCTTGGGGGTGGACGCATTTGCACACGAGCCATGGCCAAGAAAGCTGCTTTACGCCTTTCCACCGCTGCACCTTATCCCCCCCCTCCTGGAGAGGGTGAGGCGGGAACAGCTGTCAGTCATCCTACTGGCCCCAGGTCTCCGCTTGGCGCCGTGGTATGCGGGGGTAACACAGATGATGGTGGGCCAGCCCTGGGCGATTCCTCAGGTCTGGGGGGGGGCGCTGTCTCAGGAAGCAGGTGCAATAAGGGCGTTACCCACTCTGGGCCAACCTCTCCAGGCTTGGCTCCTGAGAGGGACAGGCTAAGACAGGTGGGGCTGTCTGACAGTTATTCAGACTATCCAAGCAGCAAGAGCAGAATCCACCACAGCTTGTTACAGGCCAAAGTGGGCGGGATTCCAGCGATGGTGTGAAGGAAGGAGTCTAGAGCCTCTATCATGTACGTTGGGCTCTATTCTATGCTACTTACAGATACTGGTGGACAGGGGGCTGGCTCATTCCACAGTTAAGGTGTATGCAGCAGCCATTTCGTCCTGCCATGAGGGATTTGGAGGCAGGTCAGCCTTCAGTCAGCCGCTTATGGCGCGTTTTTTTGCAGGGGGTCAGGAGGCAGCGCCCGGTAGTGCACGCCTCCGCCCCGCAGTGGGACCTGCCCCTGGTGCTCGAGCCTCTGGAGCTCTCCTCCCTAGTAGCACTGTCATGGAAGACAGCGTTGCTACTTGCCTTGACTTCAGCCAAAAGAGTGTCCGAGCTGACCTCTCTGTCGGTGCACCCAAGTTGTCTTTTGATCCGGGGTGACCGTAGCGGGGCGACACTCAGACCGAACCCCTCCTTTGCTCCCAAGAGCCTAAGGAGTTCGTTCAGGTCGAGGGCTATTCAGTTAGGTGGCTTTAATCTTCCACCCCATATTGGGGCCAGGGAGGCTAAATTGCACCTCCTCTGCCCAGTGCGTGCACTAGCATGCTATGTAGAGCGCACGGCTGCCATTAGGCACACTGAACAGCTGTTTGTGTGCTTTGGGGATGGTGTGGCTGGAAAAGCCCTCTCCAAGAAGCGCCTGACAGGATGGATCTGCGAGTGCATTACACATGCCTATGGACGGGCGGGGAGAGCCCTCCCCACTGGGGTCCGTGCACACTCTACACGGGCTGTGGCTGTGTCAACAGCCTTATTCAGCGGCGTGTAGAAGATATATGCACGGCGGCGTCTTGGTCTACGCCAGGCCCCTTCATAAAGTTTTACCTCTTGGACATGTCTGGCTCCTTCTCGTCGTCTGTGCTTGCCGGGGCAACACATGACTGGTGAGAGGGGGGGGGGGGGGGCTGTGGGTCAGTAGGTATCTGACCCCCCCTGGACATAATGCACTTATGTTTTTCCCATGCTCCTTGGGGACCTGGGAAACATGGTGCGCAGTGAGCCCCATACAGGGCTGGAGGACTCTCTGGAGAGCCTTCCCCACTATTTTTTTCCATACACACTCTACGCGAGGTAAGCGTGTGTGAGTGTGCCTTATCCAAGCTGCGGCCCCGACTTCTCCATGGTTACAACCGGTTGGGAGGAAGTGGGGGTGCGGTGGATGTTAGCCAAAAGCCGGTCAGGGGCAGTGTGATGGGTCGATGTTGTTGGACGACAGGGCGTTTATACATCGGGGCTGTGTGATATATAACGGGGGGTTACGTATTGTAACCCTAGTTATATAAACACAGGCGGAGCCCTCTACCTGGGGGCCCTGTCTTTCCTATGCCGCTCGCTGAAGAGGGTGTAGGATGACGGTCGGGAGGCGTAGCCGCCTTATATACTGTGGGCCTGCGCATTCAGGTAGGCTCGCCCCGATTGGCCGGCTACGTTTATGCAACTCAGTAGGTGAATGCACGCATAGCTTGATAGAGAGTAGTACCCCTAGAGTCCAGGAGAGGGCTCCGCCTGTCCTTATATAACTAGGGTTACAATACGTAACCCCCCGGTATGTTCTTAGACGCCCTATTGTATAAAAAAATACTAATAATATTGACATTATTTTTAGGGTTATTTATCATTTGGATTTTAAAGTTTTTGGCTTTACATAAATATCAATGATTCAACATGTCACGTGATTATTATTATTTAAAAAACATATTCATGTATTATTTATTATATTTAATATTATATTAAATGAAAATAACATAAAATATATATAATATATAATAAAAGGTAATTAAGGTTTTTATTATACAATATGATCAATGTTGGAATCTAATTTTAGTTTTTTAAATACTTCCACTGTACTTGAGTATTCCCATTTCTTGCAAATTCATATTGTATATTATATTATTTATATCGCTGTGTTTACATTATTATACATTTCTTGCCAGAAACGTAATTTTACAAGATAAAACATAAGACATTTTCACTGAAGAGAGCTTGAACGCATCGTATTGTAAGTCAACGAAACCTCAGGTAACTGTTAGCTATGTTAGCTTACTACAATGTAGCATTATTAGATTAATGAAATTCTACGTTTAAAGTGAACTTACCTGATAAATACAACTCACAAAAATGTCAACAAGCTTTTTTTAAATGTTTATTTGTCAACATTTTGGAAAAATTATTATTACAGTTTTTCAGGATGTTATTCCGTCCGCCACCGTCTCTTCTTCCCGTCGGTGTTCCTTCATGTGAGTTTTCAGACAGTGACTCTGCGTAAAGGCTTTCTCGCAAACGATGCATTTGTACGGTTTCTCCCCGTTGTGCGACCTCATGTGAACGGTCAGATGTTCCTTACGAGCGCACGCTTTCCCGCAGATATTGCACACAAACGGTTTGACGCCCGAATGTGTTTTCATGTGTCCTCTGAGGATACTCAACGCATTAAAGGTGCGCCCGCACTCGGAGCATTTGTGCGGTTTCTCCCCTGTGTGAATCACCATGTGTCGAATCAAAGCGCCTTGAGACGACAACCCTTTTCCACATTCCTGACAAACGAACTTATCCACGCTGTGTGTATTCAGGTGACCCTTCAGCTGAGGTAAACTGTGGAAAGTCTTGCAGCAAACGTCGCAGAGGTGCGTTTTGTCTCGAGCCGCGTGGATTTTCTCGTGCACTTTAAGCCTCTCGGGAAGTAAAAAACGCTTACCGCACACCTGACAGACGTGGCGTTTCTCCCCGCTGTGAGTCAGCTTGTGTCGCGACAAAGATCTCAGGTCGCAAAGGGATTTCCCGCAAACGTCGCAACTGTACGGTTTCTCCCCTGTGTGACTGCTGCTGTGAACCCTCAGCTGGCGACTAGAAGAGAAAGACCGATCGCAGACTTGACACTTGTGTGGTTTCTCCTGCACGTGTTCCCTCCGATGCCAGATCAAACTGGATTTCAACAGGTACGCTTTGTGGCAGACGTCGCACTCGTACGGTTTCTCTCCCGTGTGCAACACGGCGTGTTTATCTCGACTCCTGGCGGTGAGGAAGGACTTTTCGCAGATGTCGCAACTCTCTAAAGTTTTCTGGTGAGTTTGCAGATGGTGTCTCAGATCCTCGACGTTTTCTCCACACACTCCACACACACTTTCCTGTTCGTGCACGTGACCCCAGGAGTGTTTGATCAGCATGTTCGGGGATCCTCGAAGAGCTCCGCAAACTTTACAAGCTAAAGGAGCGCCGACGGTTTCCTTTCTCCTTTTTGTTTTCACTCCCGAAGATTCCCCTCGTAACTCCTTCTCTCCATCGTCACTCTCCTCTGGTTCCTCGACTGGTTTCCACTCCTTATCTCCAACATCATCTCCATCATCTTCCTCCCCCTCATCATCATCATCTTCTCCATCGCCACCTTCTTCTGCTTCTGATCTTCCAGGTTTTTCTCCGTCTTCATCGGTTTCTTGTTGCTGTGTCGGATTGTCAGCTTCGTCGCTCTGCATGTTTTCAGCAGGACTGTAGTGGGAACTAAAACGGCCGAAGAAAAGAGTTTTAATATTGAAATGCTGCTTTATCTTTGGTTGTTACACAGCGTGCTTATTACTAAGGATACTTTAAATATGAGAACATATGGCCACATCTATCTTGTAGATAAAAATGGGCTTAACGTTTCAGTTTTTCTTTTTCAAGAGGCAAAACTACACACGTTTATAATTTTGACAAAGCTGTTGAAACTGAAGTTGACCTGTCGGAATACATTTTATAATCTGATTCTAAAGTTGTCCAAAACTGATCATTATTTTTTTAACGTAACTATTTATTTCACAGGTAAAAAGTACAATTAAAATATAGTTTTACCATTTCCCTTCCACCCTTGTCCCAGAAATATTGGTTGCGATAACATCCATTGAATTAAAGAACCATAAAATAATTAAATATCAACGATCTTTGTTAAATTACAGTGCATCCGGAAAGTCTTCATACCCCTTCACTTTTTCCACATTTTGTTATGTTACAGCCATATTTCAAAACGGATTAAATGTATTTATTTTCTCAACATTCTAGACACATTACCCCATCATGACAAAGTGAAAAAAGTTTTTAAACACTTTTTGCAAATGAATTAAAAAAAACAACTAAAATATCACATAAACATAAGTATTCACACCCTTTACTCAATACGTTGTTGAAGCACCTTTGGCAGCTAATACAGCCTCAAGTCTTCTTGAGTATGATGCTACAAGCTTGGTACACCTATCTGGCCCTAGGCTCTGGAACACTCTGCCCCTCCATGTGAGGTCGGCCCAGACCCTAGGGTTTTTTAAATCTACACTAAAAACACACTTCTTCTCTCTGGCCTTCTAGTTAGAGCGGAGCACGACTCCTGACTTTTCCTTGTGTTTTTTTTTTAATTAATTTTTTTATATATATCTGTTGTAATTTATTGTCTTTTATTGTGATTGTAGTAATGTGTTTTTATGTGATTGTAGTTATTACATGTACAGCACTTTGGCTCGACCAAAAATCGCTTATAAATGTGCTTTATAAATAAAACTTGATATGATTTGATTTGATTTGGGCAGTTTCTCTCATTCTTCTTTGCAGATCGTCTCAAGCTCCATCAGCTTGGATGGGGAGCGTCGGTGCACAGCCATTTTCAGATCTCTCCAGAGATGTTACATTGCATTACATTACATTACATTACATTACATTACATTGCATTTAGCTGACGCTTTTATCCAAAGCGACTTACAATAAGTGCATTCCAACAAGATACAAACTTGAAGAAAACAGAATCATATAAGTACATCAGGTTTCATAGAGCCAACACATTTCAAGTGCTACTCAACTGGCTTTAGATAAGCCAGTCCTTTATTAGTATATAAGTGCTTTGTTAGCAATTCTTTGTTAGTAATTCTATCGCTCTACCGATGTTCAATCAGGGTAAAGTCTGCACTCTGGCTGAGCCACTCAAGGACATTCACAGACTTGTCCCGAAGCCACTCCTTTGTTATCTTGGCTGTGTGCTTCGGGTCGTTGTCCTGTTCAAAGGTGAACCTTCTCCCCAGTCTGAGGTCCAGAGCGCTCTGGAGCATCAAGGATCTCTCTGTACATTACTGCATTCATCTTTCCCTTGATCCTGACTAGTCTCCCAGTTCCTGCCGCTGAAAAACCTCCCCACCATGCTTCACTGTAGGGATGGTGTTGACTAGGTGATGAGCGGTGCCTGGTTTCCTCCAGACATGATGCTTGGCATTCATGTCTCTGTACCCTTCCCCAGATCTGTGCCTTGATACAATCCTGTCTCTGAGGTCTACAGACAATTCCTTGGACCTCATGACTTGGTTTGTGCTCTAATGTGCACTGTCAACTGTGGGACCTCATATAGACAGGTGTGTTCCTTTCCAAGTCATGTCCAATCTATTTAATTTACCACAGGTGGACTCCAGTCAAGTTATAGAAACATTTCAAGGATGATCAGTGGAAACGGGATGCACTTGAGCTCAATTTGCAGTGTCATAGCAAAGGGTGTGAATACTTATGTACATGTGATATTTCATTTAATAATTTTTAACATGTTTGCAAACATTTTTTTAAAACGTTTTCACTTTTTCATTATGGGGTATTATGTGTGGAATATTGAGAAACACAATTAATGTAATCCATTTTTAAATAAGGCTGTAACATAACAAAATGTGAAAAAAGTGAAGGGGTATGAATACTTTCCGGATGCACTGTAAGTGGCTAAGTTTATGGTTAACTAAATCTTAAATGACTTATTAACCTGTTAAGCCCGGAGCCTGTTTTTCAGGTCTCGGGCTCGAAAAAGACATTCCCAGAACAAATGACTATATCTTCACTTCTAAAAGGGGTAAATTAATAATCTTTTTTCTCAAAGCAATGATAAACCTGTGAGTTGGATGTAGAAAAGTCAGAATCAATATAGATGTTTTTATTTTAAAGTAAATTCAGATTGAACATAGTAAATAAATGTAAATTATAGTTTCCGTCTTACAGATAGTGAAAACTACCCTTGAATGATGGGATCGTAGAATAAAAGCTTTAGGAATCCAAACTACAACATATAATAAGTACCCTGTATCAAGATTGATGCAAAACAAGTGACATTTGACCTTTTTAGAGAGATTTAGCAAAAAGAAACCACTTCTGGGGTCATTTGGGTGGATTTGACCTATCTCTGGCCCCCCTTGCTCAATTTTGATGGTTGACACCTCTTTTTAACCGTTAGAGCCAATAGAATCGAGGGGAAGTTCCTAAATCCACCTACACGTTACCATTGAGAAGTGAGAGTGATGCACATGCAGCTTGCCCAAAACCGAAAGCTATGTTACGCTCTGAAAACTGAAAACTAGGCTTATTGACCTAAATATGATGATGGATTATCAGTAATCATTTCAAAGTGACACAGAGACATTGGATTAACCTTCAGCAGCGGTTTTATCTTTTTAATGCCATTAAACACAACTTTTGATCAGAAAAACAGCAAAGGTACGACGTATTTGCCGTTTTGGCTCCGTAAAGCTACGCTGTGTGTCTGGGTTTGCCTGAGCTGCCGCGAGTTTTGATCGCACAGTGATGATACTTATACCTCTAGAATCTGTGGAATCTCAGCTTAAATCTGATATATTGTTCGTGCAGATCCGATGAAGTATAAAAGATCGCTAACGTGAGTTCTGTGCTAAGTAAGTTAGCATTTTTTCGCTTAGTGCTAATTCAGAGTGTCGGCGTTAGACTTGTGTTTTGTTTCGGTAAAAATTGTTCGTCAGTTAGCTGAGTTTCTTCCCGTTAAGTGGGTATGACACAATCATAGTTAGTTAAATGTTAAGGAGCCCTGAGACACAGTTTCGTCGAATAAAAGCTGGGCTTAACAGGTTAAGTAGTCTTATACTAAAATGCAAAGTTGAATTTACACCCATGTTTAAATGATATATGATATTAACGATTAGAAGATACAACAGAAGGTTGAATTAAATAATTACCTTGTATTCGGCCTGTTTTCATCACTTCCTGTTTCATGTGTTACGTCGTCTTTCCTCCCCGGAACAGGAAGTTGCTCCGAGTCCTGAGAGTTATCTGCAGACTGGAAACAAAAACAATCACTTTTAAATCATGATTTGTGCTTGAATACCTGATATATGCATTTTGCAAGTGGAGAAGCAATTAATACAAAAATGTATTTGCAGAATTTGGCAGTTTCTTTAATATGAGAATTGTTTATTGTTAATGTTTAATTATAAGAGACAAAGCTGCTCATAAAATGAAATTAAAACATGGAGAATATCCTCAGACTAAAATAAGGAAGACATTTAAATAAAAACAATAAAATAAGAGTAAATTAAGACAAAAAAAATATATCTAAAAATGAAAATAAATGCAGTGTGTCAAAATAATATATATAATCAAATCAAAGAAATAAAGTAAATACAAAATAAATATAAAAGTGTCTTTGAATTTCAAGAAAAGCGCTCTATAAATAAAATGCATTATTTTTATTAAATATAAAAATCTAATTCATAAAAACAATGAAAATTAAATACAAAAGTAAAATCTGAAATAAAATTAAAATAAATACAGTTTATATATAAAAAATATATATATTTATAAAAGTCAAATCAAGCAATCTGATTGGTTCTTAGCCGTGATATAATGAGCGTATATCACGGGTAGAATTGTAGTTACTTTTCACAAGTCAGTATCCCTCCGCGTCTGAGAAAAGCTACAACCGTTACAGCAGTTACATTACGTCCGTTACGAAACTAACTAACAAAGCTCAAGATGGAAACATTTAAGGTTAACTTCGACCTCCGGGGTGGCCTTACCAGAAAACACCTAAACGACGACATGCAGAGCTACGTGAAGAGCAGGTAGACCAACGGAGAAAGTGGAGCAATATTCTCGCCACGCCAAACAACAGCCTAGAACAACCTCAACCTATACGAGTAACCACGTAAGCCATGCTACTGATGCTGGACAGGTTTTCAGTGGCTGCACAATAAACAACAACATACACATTAATGTAAATAAATAGCCAAATAATGGATCAACGCTCTCTGTCTAATATGTTCGCTAGCTGTTGTTAGTGTTGTTGCATAGCAACCACCTCGCACTATGTTTCCTGCAGAAGGCAACGGAGGGACTATTTTATTTTGAACATCATTATTTAATAATAAAAACTATTTAAATTAGAGTGTGTATTTTTCTTTCATATTGCCACACTTGGTAACCGTTTTATAAAAGCAATAGCTCACTTCAGGCCGTGATATATGCTCAGTATATCACAGCTCAGGGGGTTGAACCACGCGGCTTAGCTGTGATATAATGACCATATACCACGGCCTGTCGTGAGCTATTGCTTAATTATATAAATAAAAAACATAATAAAAAATAAAACATAAAAAATAAATATTGTTACCCTCCTCTCTCTCAGGTAGAGCGCTGACCTCCCCCTCCCCACCGCCCCGACGCTCCTCTGGATTTCTTCGGGCGTCAGACTCTTCAGCTCCAGTGTCTGCAGACGTCGAGACGGGTCAGCCGTCATGGCGTCCACCGGGAGGCGTAACCGTGGAAACGAGGAACGGAGAAGAAGCAGGAAGTCGTCCTCCGACAGACCGGGGGGGCAACGCAACTCCCGCACCCCCGACTTCAACACTGAGGCGGCGGGAAAATAAAAACAAATAAAATCCATGAATTTAGATTCACACTGAAATTTATTATTTAATCATTTTTCTGAATTCTGATTTTCTTCTTAGAATTTTGACTTTTTTCAGAATGTAATTGTTTGTCAGAATTATGATTTTTGTTTTTAATCAAAAAGTACCTTTTCACAGAATTTATTTATCAGATTTCTTTCCTTTTTTCTCAGAATTTTATTTTGTTTCTGAATTCAGTTTTTTTTCTGAAAATGTTGACATTTTGACTTTTTTTCACGAAATTTAAATTTTCTAGAATGTAATATGTATATAACGTTTTTTTAACATTTCTATTGTTTAGATTTATTTTGTCTTTAATTACTTTTAAATTAATTAAATAACACAAAAAATGTAATAACTTTAATTAATTAATTAAAATTTTTAGAATGGATTCGTTTTAAAACCTATGGAGGTTTTTGGCAAAAGATAGTTGATTTTTCAAACACTGAATTCATCAGGACATTAAATGGAGTTATATGTAAAAAATGCATGCAATTAACATTAATTTAAAGTTAAATGGATTTGAATTATTAAAGGTCCCATGTCATGCTTTTCCGGTTATTACCCGTCCCCTTGTGTTATGAAGCTTCTGCATGTGAACGGTCTGCAGAGTCATAAACCCTCAAAGTACACCCTGTAGGGAGTAAAACTCTAACACAGAAAATACCTGTCTATGCTGCCCCAGAACGCCTCGTTGGACATTTCTCATGTTCTTCCTGGGCATCGTGACGTCTGGATACCCAGTAGCCGCGCCCAGAGCTATGACGCACCCTCTGCCAGCCTTTCACGAAACAAAGCTTCCCAAACCTTTCAGGATTCATGCCGGATATGTACAGCGTAGGGCACTGAAGAACGATGCTGTTCCTACTTTGTTTGGACCAGCGGGAGTTCGGGTACACAACCTGTAAGTATTCATTGTTGTTTGTGTATTTATGATGTTTAAAACAAACAAGGTATCTACCACGACTGTTTAAATGGGTAAACGTTTTTCGGACTACTAAATTGGGATGGTGGAGAAATGCTCTCCGCAGACCCTTGCTCACAGCGTTATAAACCTCTTACTCAATATCAAGCCACACTTATTGGTTTTACTTCGGCTGTGAGTGTTTGTGTGTGCTCAGGATGAGTTTCGCTTGTTCTCGCTGTATCTCTATCGCCAACACGGAAACCTGTCTGCTCCTCACGAGCAGCTGCACGTCGCTTGACCAATCAGAGCACACTGGGCTCACAGGGAGGGGGGGCGAGCTCCAACAAGCTGTTTAGGACAGAGAGTGAATACACATACTATACAGAGATGCTGTATGAGAAACCAATGTGAGTTTGGAACATTGAACAATATAAATCTATTCTAGTAGACCTCAACAATGGAATTATGATCAGTGGAAATGGCCATGACATGGGACCTTTAAGATCAAAGTAATGGAGTTTTTTTTTAGAAAATGCTTTATTTTGCATATTTAAGGAGTGACTCACAGCCTTTCCTGAGCGTGTCGGTGTCGGCGTCGTGCAGGAAACACACTCGCAGCTTCACAAAATCACTCCTCTTCCTCCCCGCCTTCCTCCTCTTCCTCACTGAGTCGCTGTAAAAATGTAAAATTAAGAATCCTTCAGATGCAAGTTTTTCCCTTTCAAGACTTTTAAAGTGTTATATTAATAAATTAAATCATATGTTAACCTGTGTTCTGGTGTCTGAGGATCACCCTGATGCAGGACTGCCTCCTCTTCATCTTGTTTATCCTCGTCTTCCTCAAAGGGATCCGAGTCCTCCACGTCTAAAGACAAAAGAAAGTTCAACATTATTTTACATGCAAATAAAAAAATAAATAATAAGAATAATCTCCAATACATTTTCTACCTGAACACTTTTTAATTAAAATGTGATTTATTGTTTTTGTATATATTATAAATTAATATAATTGAGTTATTCACATTCAAGTACAAAACTAAAGCGTAGATGACCTCTACATGGTGATATCTGCCACTCGTGCAGCAAAGGCAAAAGTGGGTCGACACTAGAAGGAATCTTCAACCCAACGATATTGTGGTCATCGTCGATGAAACAGCACCAAGGAACTCATGGCCCCTCGGCCGTGTGGTTAAGACCCCGCCTGGACCCAAAGGTCTGGTCAGAAGAGTGTTAGTTCAGACTAACGGCCCGTCCACACGGCGGCGTGCGTTGGAGCTTCAACGCTTCTGCCCATTCACTTTGAATGGGGCGACGTCATGCTTTGCCGAACTGCATTGTGGGAGCGTCGCTTCGCTTTGCTCGCTTCAAAAGATGAGCAATGTTCAACTTTTGAAGCTTCGGCGGAAGCGTCAGCCAATCAAATCATATGCCAGTACAAGCTCTAGCCAATCAAACCCCGTGCTTGTGTGTCCGGGGCGGGAGATTCATGTGAACACTTAAATTATATTATTAACATTTTAAACTGTATACCATGTTTATATAGGCCCTTTTTGTTTTTTGTTTGATGTATATATGTCACACTGTAGGACTACGGGAAACGATATTTCTGGATGTACAACATGTAGAATTATTGACAATAAAGCTGACTTTGACTTTTGACTTTGAAATGTGATTGGTTGTTGGTCGAGTTTCAGACACGCCCAGCCGGCAAGCTTCAACGCACGCCGCCGTGTGGACGCTGCGTAAGACTAACATCCTGCAGAGGCCCAAGCTCCGTCTACTCCTGGAAGCCAACTGAGCTCAAAGAGCCAATGCCCTACCCCTTATCCCCTGCTCACACACATACTATCTTTCCCACATCTTTCCATACACAAACCTCTCTATTTCAAACTACACTGACACTCTTCTGACCACCGTCTCCTGCCTCAGGGACAGTGAGTGGTGAGACCACGAGAGACACTGATGCATGAACCCTGGGGGGGTCTAAGTGGGGGCTAATTGAAATGACTTGATCAATGTATATATGCATATTAGTAGATTTTGTATGATAAACAGAAATGTGATATGATTATTTATTTATTTTAATTATGACAATTAATTAATTATTCTTTAGGAAACATTTTCCAAAATATCAATATTTAAAGTTGAATCATTAAAATGTGATGTTATATTAAGAATAAATAAATACATACGAGGATTTATATATATATATATATATATATATATATATATATATATATATATATATATAAACTAAATTAAATTACATTCATGGGTTAAAAACCATTGAATAATAATGTTTTAAAAATATATGTATATATAAAGTACCGGTCTGCTCCTCTTCCTTGGGGGCTTCGCCTCCTCCGGCCTCCACACGAAGCGCCTCCTCTGAAACTAAGACAATACTATTCATATATATGTTTAAATAACATGTGTTGATCACCTCTTTGGAAAACATCATTAAAATAAATAAATGATAATAGTTGTTTTTTAATCACATAAAGAAATCGCGTGTAAATAATTAATATAAATACAAAGAAAATAATATCTAAATATAATAAAAACAATTTTAAACATTAAAGTTATGTTATAGGGCACCTGTTTTAATAAAGTTCAAATAAACCATGTACACAATAATAATAACAGATAGCATGCGAGAGAAGAAGAAGTTAAACCATCAGATGTTAGCGGGACTCTGCTGCACATTAAAATAATTGAAATGTAAAAAGAAAAGGATTATTTGACATAATCACTTCTTGACTTTGGAAAATAATAATAATGTAATATATGTTTTTATAACATAAAGAAATTACATGCAAATAATTAATATAAATGTAAAGAAAATGAGAAATATAAAGCAATTATAGTGGACTTGTTTTAATATAATTCATTTTTATCCCACAGGCCATGAGACTGTTAAACTCCTGAACTCTGTGAAGAACATCCAGAGCATTCATCGGGTTGCATCGATCATTTATCTAATCAATCAATCCATTTACGTGTATAGACTCTTCTGGCACTATTTCTATTTTATTTGCACTAACTTGCTCATCTCAAAACATCTGTTGTATCTGTTCTATGTCCTATATATATTCATGTCGCTCTGTTGGAGGAGGACTTCAGGTTGTCATCTCCATCTCTACACTACAGCTGCTGAGCACATGATGAGAGAGACTTGAAACTTGAAACATTGGAACCAAGTAAACAATAACAATAACAGATTGCATGTGAACATAAAGCCTATGAATCCATAACATAACAAGATAACAAACAATGAGAGAAGAAGCAGAAACCCTTGGTGTTAAATCATCAGATGTTAGCGGGACTTTGGTGCACTTTACCCGGCCTGCAGAGAGTGATTCTCGGCTGCAGGAGCTCCAGCTGGTGCCTCTGCCGGGTGATCTCGCTCCTCAAGGCCGAAATCTCGTCCTCAAACCCGGCCACAGTCCGCTGCACCACCGCTAAGATCTCCTGCGACGCGGAGGTCAGTTTATCCGCGACCACCGCCCTCAGCATCTCAGATTTAGACAGATTATAATCCACCGAAGGAACCACCATAATGTTCACCGCCATTTTACCGAGTCTCACCTCTAATGTGGTCCGAGTGGAAAGCAAGGAAAACAAAGGTTCCGCTTCTGCTGGTGATCTACTGCCATCTTGTGGTGAGTTGTCATAGAAAAGTATTTATAAACAAAGGAACATGTAATACTTTTAATTCATTTAAAGTTTGTTATTTGTATTTAAATAGATAAATGGGGAGTTCGGTTTAAAATGTCTGTTGATGTGAGGATTTCCTAATAAATAGATACATGATTAAAAAAAGAAAACATAAAATAGGATAAATAAGATAAACAAATAGACAGAGATACTTTATTGATCCTAAATTGGGAAATTATTTAGTCACGGCAGCATTTGACGAGAATTACAAAATTAATCAAATGTTTTAATAAAATACAAATAAAGATAAACAATAAAAATGATGAAACAATATATATATTTTTTCTGTAAAAAAAAAAAAATGTACTGAGAAAAAAATCAAAAATTTGAAGAAAAGTCAGAATTCGAAACAAAAAAAGGCAAAATATAAATAAAAAGCCGAAATTTGACAATATGTATTTCTTATTTTAACAAACAATAATGATACATATATCCAAAGCGATTAAAGTTTTTATTAATCTGATGATTTTCCCGATTTTTTTATTTCCGGATTAAAAAAATACTTCATATTTGTTTAATTTAAATTACAACGAATTAAACTTAAACAAAATGAAACCTAAATAAAGGTTATTCATTCAAACAGAAAAAGAAATAAAAATGTAAAATCATGTTATTATTATTATCTATCTGAGGACTTCCTAATAAATGAGTAAAAGGGCTGTCATTGTGAATTCAATTCAAAGTAAACATTTTAAAAAATCACGATTTAAAATTCAACTAAATTAAATAAACAGGCTGACACGCTGTAGTGCATATGCCGGGCCTGTAAGTGGCGCTGTAACTTCCGCCACAAAATACACCAAAAGCAGCGAGTTTAAGATCCCCCCGGATGTGTGAGGCACACACAAAAACAAACAAGGTAGAAGATGGCTGATATTCGCGCTAGAAAGGAGCTGTTTTCGTGGACTGACGATGAGGTAGAACTTCTGCTACATGTCACACTAGACTACAAAACTACCAAAATACTGGAGAATGTTGACTGGGAGTCCTGCAAGCTAAAATATAGCGGGATAGGGGACTTATTTCAGGCGCAATATCCGAGGACCCGGACAGAGAAAGATTTCCCTCACGACAAGATCTCCATTACACAGGGCCAGCTTACAGCGAAGCTCAAGCAAGTTCGCATTAAGTACAGGCAGGCGGTGGACCTTGGGCGTCGGAGTGGCCAAGGACGTGTTGTGTACATGTTCTTCGGGCTGTGTGAACAGATCTGGGGTGGCTCCGGCGTCGAGACGGGGGACTGGCTCGACTTGGAAGCGTCCTCGCCCGGACCAAGTTCATCCCCGAGTTTGGAGCGTCCCAACGATTCGCCAGAGTCGAGTGAATCCAACGGAAGTCTGCCAACTGCTGCGGTTGTAAGGCATCGCAGGGATCTGCTCCAGGTATGTTCATGATTTCAAGCTTAACGGACTTGCTATATACTACGATGCAGTACCTTCCACAGAAACACTGAACCTGTTTTGTAAAATTAGAAAGTATTGAGAGCTGTTGTATTTGTAAAATGTATTGAGAGCTGTTTCACAACATGCCTTTGGTCTTATGTTATCTGGTGGCTATGGTCCTATTGTGTAATAATACAAACATTCTCTGGTTTATTATAGGCACCGCTGAACGGCCACAGAAGTGACCGCCTGAAGAGAAAGCTTCCAGCTGAACACGCAGTGCTGGAAGACCTCCAAATAAAAAAGAGGATGTTGGCCCTAATGGAGCTAACCTCCAGCCGCAGCGCAGCCAGCATGGATCGGATGAATACCACCATGGACAACATTAACAGCACCATTCAGGGTGGCCTTTCCCTGATCAGGGAATTAATGCATGCACCCCCCCACAGTAGCAACGGTGGATATGGACACTTCCAGGAGCCCTCATCTCCATTCATTCCTTAAAGGCCACACCCGGCTACGCTGGACTACACACCAAGAGCAAACCCCTCACATGCAGACGATGACCCCTGACACCCCACAAGCTCCTTCGTTTTCATTCAGGCAGTCACTGTTTCAGGAGGACTTATAAAGCAGTGAGCTTCAGGTTTTTTTTTCCCGCACTTTTTGTTCAAAGGAAGTCTGGAAACATTTGTATTTTTAACTTTGCACATTGATTGGAGAATCACATTTTTTTTTTGTAGCTAGCAAAGGTGTTTTTTTCTTTTCTTTTACTGTGTACACCTTGTAGCTCTTACAACAAATAATGTTCTTAATAAAAACCTTGCAAAAAAAGAACAGTCTTGTCTTTCATGTAAGGGTCAATGCACTCTGTAAGCACTCTCTTTCCTTCTCCCTCATCACAGTCAGTGAGATATCTATTGCCCTGTGTGGGAGGCTGGAAGTCCTTTTCACCTTGTAAACATCATTTAGACTAAATAGACCACATGTCTGACAAGTAACCCCCCCTAGTGTCACATATCTGAACTGTGATATATATGTCACATTGGGCTTTAATGGTAAAGCCCAAACTATTGTTAGGCATATATTATAGGTCTCAGATATATAAAAAACATGTCTATGAAGTGTTTTGCTCAAAATACCAAACAGATCAGCCATTCCAGCCTCATGCCCCTCTATTTCAGCCTGTTACTAAAGTGCTGATACTGATTGGTTTAATGTATGTTCAATTTCAACAATCATCAATATGATCAGTATTATGCATTTTACAAAGAAAGTTTGCATTATGATTTTTATGAATTGTATAAATTGAACTTTGATTAAACATTCACTTATATTTTAATTGTGAAAACCCTCAAATATTTGTTAAAATACTATTTAGAGAAGGGAAGGTAAAACAATCTTAACGGGTTAATATAATACTTTTTTACTACAGTGTATGTACTATGTTTCGCTAGTGACCATTTTTGGGAGAGAAAGAACGTGCCAATACAGTCTGAAAATACGATATCAAAATGTACGGTCCTTTTACTAGATATGTGTCATTTAGATATGGTACAAAATATATATGGACAAAGTTTTGGGGAAAAAACACACAATTTCAAAAACATTTCCAACCTGACTTTGGTCCAATAGAAGTAGAATGATTAACTTAATTCACGAGGATGATGACATTTGTTGCACTTTATGTTCAAAGAAAGTCTGGAAGTGGTTGCAGCCAATTTTATTTTTAATTTCACACTGTGAACATTGGAGAATCACATATTTATTTGCTTAGTTTTACATATGTTACATGCATTAAATAGTACTAAAAAAAGTTATGATATAATACAAAGTATCCTGTAACAGTCCTTAGATTTAGCAGCCAGGTACATATACATATAACTAGCCAGGTATATGTATATTGTACAGCAGGGCTGCAGCAGCCTGTCGCTGAAGGAGCTGCACAGTGAGGACAGGGAATGTAACAAAGAATGTTTATCAGATCTTAATAAACACCTTTAAAAAAATAACAGTCTGTCTTTCATGTAGTCCTAAGGGTCAATGCACGCCGTAAGCACTCTCCTCACTCTCTTTCCCTCCCCCTCATCACAGTCAGTGAGATATCCATTGCTCTGTGTGGGAGGCTGTAAATCCTTTTCAGCTTGAATTGTTCCCAACACAGACTGATCATCCACAGCCTCCTTACTGGCCTCACAAACATTGTGGAGGACAAAGCAGGAGTAAATGACATGGGGCAGGTCAACCATGTTTATGTCCATAGGCCTTCTAAGTGCAGCAAATCTGGCCTTGAGGCGACCAAAAGCACACTCAATGACCTTACGTGCACTACACAAAGTTAGCCCAAAGTACTGTTCCTGGGCTGTGGAGCCACCGGATGCATATTCCTTCATCAGGTACGGCAGCAGCGGGTAGGCAGGATCACCAAGAAGATAAATTGGTATGGCCTCCTCTTCGTCCACAATCTGTTTTTTCAGAGCAGGGATCTTTCCAGTTTTCAAGTACATGTTTAGCTTTGAGTTAGCAAAGACCCGTGCATCATGCACACTCCCAGGCCACTTTACCACGACATCCATGAATCGGTACTTGTAATCACAGACAGCCTGTACATTAAGGGAATGTCTGCCTTTCCTGTTGATGTAGTCAGTGGGGTTGGTAGATGGCTGCTTGATTTCGATGTGGGTTCCGTCCACTGCTCCTAAACATTGTGGCATGCGCTGAGCACGATGGAACCCCTCAACCAGATCCGCGGTCTCAGGCTCAGTAAAAGGCAGCTTGATGTATTTTGGACCCAGGTGGATGGTGATCGCTCTGCATGTCTGCCTAATAATGAGGGACAAAGCCGGGCGGGAAACTCCGAAGGCGTTAGCAGTCTTCCGTAGCCTTCCCCCATCGCTCAGGTAATAAAGTACTAACACCCTTTTCAGTGGATCAATTGGCGCCCTCATGTTCGTTGTTTTCTTCTCGATATATGGGCGCAGTTCTTCGCTCAGGGCAACGACAGAGGCTTTGGACATGCGGAAGTTCTCCCTCCATTCATCGTCCACGACAACGCCATTGACAAAATTGTCCCACCAACTGCTAGTTCTGCCCGGTCTTACCCAAAGCGTTCTCCTGGTCGCCCTTCTGGTTGTTCTCCGCGGTGGATTTAGCAACATGTAGTTCATGTTGTTCTCCATGTCCACTTGTGGCTTGTGGTTTTCGTAGAAGCACCGTAGATGTAGCACTAACATCTGTATCATGGTCAGTAGCGTCTGGAGCACAGCAGCAACCCTGTGATCCGCCATTGTTGTTGTTGTTGTTGGCGAAACGCATCAGCAATGACGCGGGGCTGAGCAGGAGAGGTGGGGAGCGTGGTGGGGAGAGGCGGGGCTATCGTTATTTTTTCCGGAAATGATCGTATAGAGGCGATTACACGGAGCCGTTTGACCCCCCAGAGCGTTTCGTTTGCAAATCTATCCACCTTGGGACCCGTTATCGTTTGTGGGGTCCGTTTCTATCGCTTTGTTACGGCCTCGTGTAAATGAAAGGGCTATACTAAGAGAAACTATGCGGATACAACCCGTTTCGTTCTCGTGTAAAGGGGGTCTCAGAGCTGCTGAGTCACACGTCACGGCCTCCTGGTGCTGCTCCTCTCAGAGCTGCTGAGTTGTCCCCCCCCTCCCTGACATGACCAATGAGGGCACGAGATAAGTTTGTGCACAGATGGAAGGCTGACAGGCAGGTAGGCCATCCAGTTATTTTAGCCGGGCCGGCTCAGATGATTGGTCGTGCTTTTTACAGTACTACGGCTTCCACAGATGGATTTTTTGTCAAAGCACTTAAAGGTCCCATGTCATGCTTTTCCGGTTATTACCCGTCCCCTTGTGTTATGAAGGTTTTTATGCATATAAACGGTCTGCTGAGTCAAAAACCCTCAAAGTACACCCTGTAGCGAGTAAAGCTCTAACACAGAAAATACCTCTCCAAAACACCTCGTTGGAGATTTCTCATGTTCTTCCTGGGCATCGTGACGGCTGGATACCCAGTAGCCTCGCCCAGAGCTATGACGCACCCTCTGCCAGCCTTTCACGAAACAAAGCTTCCCAAACCTTTCAGGATTCATGCCGGATATGTACAGCGTAGGGCACTGAAGAACGATGCTGTTCCTACTTTGTTTGGACCAGCGGGAGATTCGGGTACACAACCTGTAAGTATTCATTGTTGTTTGTGTATTTATGATGTTTAAAACAAACAAGGTATCTACCACGACTGTTTAAATGGGTAAACGTTTTTCGGGCTGCTAAGTTGGGATGGTGGAGAAATGCTCTCCGCAGACCCATTCTCACAGCGTTAGAAACCTTTTTCTTACTCGGCTGTGAGTGTTTGTGTGTGCTCAGGATGAGTTTCGCTTGTTCTCGCTGTATCGCCAAGCCTGTCTGCTCCTGCAGCAGTGTGTGTGTCTGTGTGAGTGCGAGCCAGCTTCTCGACCAATCAGAGCACACTGGGCTCACAGGGAGGGGGGGCAGGTGCTCGAACAAGTCGTTTAGGACAGATAGTGAATACCGGTGAATACACACACTATACAGAGATGCTGTATGAGAAACCGATGTGAGTTTGGAAAATTGCACAATATAAATCTATTCTAGTAGACCTCAACAATGGAATTATGATCAGTAGAAATGGCCATGACATGGGACCTTTAAGATATTCATTGCTATCGGGATGTTAAGAGCATTCCATGGAATATAACAAAAAGTGTATTTCGAGCCGGTTTCTCAAACCTACCTACCCCACCTTTAAAGCCCTCCAGCTCGTTCACGCTGCGTCAGGTTGATTATTCTTTAAGACCAGAACAGACTGCTTACTGGAAACAGGAACTATCAAAAACATCCCAAAATAAGTTTCCAGTCACAACATTTTATTAACCAAACAGATTATTAGAGAAGCTACTCAGCAGATGAATGAACAGTAACACTAAATCCCTTCAATGCCGCTTAACGAGGCTAGCAGTTTAACCCGGGACATTGAAACAATTGAAAACAGTCACTTTTGAACTGAAGCATAACACGGCTATAAGAAAACCATGGTTGAAACACAGTAGAACATTTCCTTATAGATCAGTAACTATTACAAACATGAATTAAATCAGGAGAAGCAGCATCTCTGTGGCCTCGTGTTGGCATAGTGTGAATGCTGGTTAGAAAATGAATAACTGTTGGTCAGATTTCCATTTAGAAAGACTTAAACTGCACTGGCTTCCAATTCCGTTACGAATTGATTTTAAACTCCTTTTATTTGTTTTTAAAGCACTAAATGGGCTGGCTCCGGCCTATATAGCTGAACTCCTCCAGCGCTACACCCCAACAAGAGCTTTAAGGTCTGCTGACCAGCTGCTGCTGATAGTGCCCAAGACCAGGCTCAAAACCCGAGGGCACTGAGCCTTCGCAGCAGCTGGCCCGAGGCTCTGGAACACTCTGCCCCTCCATGTGAGGTCGGCCCAGACCCTAGGGGTTTTTAAATCTACTCTTAAGACACACTTCTTCTCTCTGGCCTTCTAGTTAGAGCGGAGCACGACTCCTGACTTTTCCCTGTGTTTTCTTTTTAAATATCTGTTGTAATTTATTGTCTTTTATTGTGCTTATAGAAGTGTGTTTTTATGTGATTGTAGTTATTACATGTACAGCACTTTGGCCCGACCAAAAATCGCTTTTAAATGTGCTTTATAAATAAACCTTGATTTGATTTGATTTGATTAAACAACACAGCTATCAGGACATCAGGAGGAGGAAACAGCTAGCTTGGCTCTCAGAGTTGCATTGTGAGCACTCATGGATTACTACAGCAAC